CGCTCTCTCCCCCCCCCGCCTCTCCCCCCCCCCCCGCTCTCTCCCCCCCACCCAGCCTCTCCCCCCCACCCAGGCCTCTCCCCCCCCCGGCCTCTCCCCCGCTCTCTCCCCCCCACTCTCTCCCCCCCCCCGGCCTCTCCCCCCCCCCAGGCCTCTCCCCCCCCCGGCTCTCTCCCCCCGCTCTCTCCCCCCCGCCTCTCCCCCCCGCTCTCCCCCCGGCTCTCCCCCCCGGCCTCTCCCCCCCCCCCCCGGCCTCTCCCCCCCCCGGCCTCTCCCCCCCCGGCCTCTCCCCCCCGGCCTCTCCCCCCCCGGCCTCTCTCCCCCCCCCCCCCCGGCCTCCCCCCCCCCCCGGCCTCTCCCCCCCCCCGGCCTCTCCCCCCCCCCCCGCCTCTCTCCCCCCCCGCCTCTCCCCCCCCCCGGCCTCTCCCCCCCCCCGGCCTCCCCCCCCGCCTCTCCCCCCCCCAGGCTCTCCCCCCCCCTCTCCCCCCCACCCTCTCTCCCCCCCCCCGGCCTCCCCCCCCCCCGGCCTCTCCCCCCCCCCGGCCTCTCCCCCCCCCCCGCTCTCCCCCCCCCGCCTCTCCCCCCCCCCGCCTCCCCCCCCCCCCCCGGCCTCTCCCCCCCCCCGGCCTCTCCCCCCCACCCAGGCCTCTCCCCCCCCGGCTCTCTCCCCCCCCCCCCGGCCTCTCCCCCCTCCGGCCCTCTCTCCCCCCAACGACTTGATAGTGATTTATTTTCCAACAGTGAGTCTGGCATTAGTGTGGTGTGGTGGGTTGGGTATTGGCAATCTGAGTGATAATTCTTTTGCTGTTTGTGCCTTCAGCTACAGGCACCCAGTGTGAATACTGGAGTGGTGGGGTCCTAGGAAGTGAGCCGTCTATGGGCAGCATGATGCATCTTCAGCAGACTTTCCGAGGTCCAGAATTTGCACAAAGTTCAATTGATGTGGAAGGACCTTTCACCAATGTTAACCGAGGTAACTACTTACTTGCATTGATTGGTTTAAATGTAAATTTAATGTAGCATAATTTCACAGATCACCTATGCCATGAAATGTTAGGGTATGGATATGATGTACATAGCTTCCAATCTCTGTGTGAGTATCTCAGCAAGTGAAGTTCAGAAGGTGGATCCACCATGTGTTAGTAGGAGATTAGCGCAAACCAGGTCTGGGAGCAAATTGCTATCTTGGGTTTTGCAGTGAATGGTGTGTCGGGGATAGCGATTTGTTTCTGGACCGTTGGGTGTCTGACACATGCAGACACCCATCACCATGCTCAAGAGTATCCAAACCAAACTGAGAGTTCCATGCATCCCACTTACACATGGAAATTCCAGAGATATTTGTTGGAACGGAATGTGCATTCTCTCCGTGGATGGACGCAACCTGCTTACCTAATTCCGGAAAGTATCAGGCGTAAATTGGCAAAAGCCAATGATTGGGGACCCCAGAGTGTGGTTGGTGTATTGTGAGAGCCTAACCAGCTAAAATCACATAGCTTGCCATTGAAAACGCTGTCTGGCAAGCTTCCCCGCTGCTTGTCCAGTGAGGAACACCATTAGGGGTTTAGCTTACACGAGAACTGAATGGGAAGAATTCCTGCCCTTCCAAGTCCTGCTGATGAGCTAGGCTGGCTGTGCTGTCATAATAATAATAATACTTGCATTTGATATAGCGCTTTTCACGTCGGGAGGACGTCCCAAAGCGCTTCACAGAACACACTGTAAGTGAATTGACTGTATATTTGTGGGTGAACGCGGCAGCCAATTGCGCACAGCAATGTCCCACAAACAGTCGTAGATTGAAAATGACCAATTTATTATTGTTTTTGGTTTTGGAGGGATTATTATTAGGTGTGTGGAGTAAGGAAACTTGCCCAAGGTTTCGCCCTGCCTGGAATTGAACTCAGGTCCCTCACTTGCAAAGTCAGTGCTCTAACCACTGAGCTACAGGACTCTCTGGTGTACTGTGGATCTGCCGGGTTCAGGAACTGAAATATTGAGACCGCCACAGAGGGCTTGGTCGATTCTGAAATTTTAGTCCAAACATGTTACCTTGGGGCCAGTTTAGCAACAAGGAGACCCCGTGAGGACAGCATGTGAGTGTGAGAGAAAGTCAACTGCATGTAGAAATAGACCCTTCAATTCATCAAGTTTGTGCTAGTATTTTTACCACATTAGCTACCTAAACTCATTCAGTCTCTTGTTTGTTCCCATAACTTTTAATATTTTTCAAACATCTATCTAATATCCTTTTAAGATAATTTATGAATTCTGCCTCATCTGTGGTTTGTGCCAGAGAATTCCACATTTCAGTGTAACGAGGACGGTTGAAATGGTAAATGAATTGAAAGAATACAATATCAGATTCTGCCATACTGGTAATCTATGAGGAGAGAAAGAATTGAAAAATGTGGTGGTGGGGGAGGGAGCTTCATAAGTGCTGTTCTGAATTTGATAGTGTACTGTGGAAACCCTGCTCTTCCAAGCTTTCCCCAACTTTTATTTGGGAACAATTAAATGATTTTACGTGCACATCTAAGAAAAGAGCACAAATTTTAATATGGTTTGTTGAATAGTAATTGATACTGTATTGTATTATGTTGAATAGCACTCTAAGTGCTTTTTATATCATGTATAGTAAGTTTTTTGTAAGCAAATATGGCAGCCAGTTTGTACACAGCAATGTCCCACAAAAAGCTATGAAATAAATTACTAATTTTATTTGAGGGATTGCTTACCAGGACGCTGGGAGAAACTCCTTTTTTTAAATAGGGCCATGGGATCTTTAATGTCCATCTAAACAAGAGGATGGGACCTTGATTTAACTTCCCATCTGACAATGCAATGTTTCCCCGAGCATTGTATAGGAGCGTCAGCCTATTCTGTGAATGTAAAATCCCGACGTGGGGCTTGAACCCATAACCTTCGTGTTTGTGGATGTCTCTGGTTTTAAATTGACTGTTAAAATGAATGATTGACAGCAAGTCTGAATGCTGTGCAGTTTACTTGGCTCTATTTTAATTTGCTCTGTTCACTGTTTCTAGATGACTGGGATGCTGCTGTGGCTACACTACTGCAGGTCACCCCCTTCTACCTCAGTCTCTCAGGAGCAACACAGTGCGCTGCTACCTTATGAATACTGCAGATACACAATCTGTGGTGGATGTATTCCTCCATGTAAGCTAACTATAAAAATTCTTACTATATATTTTTTAAAGAATGTTAATTCACTTAAATAAATAACTGGATGGGTGCATGTGTTTTGGTATTGGGTGTCAGCTTGGCTAAGTTGGTAGTACTCTTGCCTCTGAGTCGGAAGGTTATGGATTCAAGTCCTACATCAGGAATGTGAGCTCTTAGTATAGGCTGACAGTCTTGTGTAGTGTTGGGAGTGCTGCATAGCGATTGGAGTGAATATCTCATTCCTTTAGATGAGACATTAAACTGAGGCTCCGTCGCTTGTTGAGGTGGACCATTTTTTCTGTTTCCTTCCCCCCCCCCCCCCCCTCCAGTTCAGCTTTGTGAACAACAACAAATTACATTTCTATAGTGACTTTCACGTCGGGAGAATGTCCCAAGACCCTGAGACGTACTGCTGAAGTGAAAGGTGTGATACAAATAGGTGCTAAGGAAACGCTTTGAAAGGTCGTCCTGACTTTAAAAGTTGTTAAAAATGATCATCTATTCATTTTTTAAATAATATCACTATTTTTGTGAATTGATTATTTTGGAAATTGAATTGTCTCACTGTTCTGTGAGCCAGAGCAGACTTGAAGGACTGAATGATCTCCTGAGCTACAGGTTTCATTGTTTCCGTGTTCTGTTTGAAGTTTCAGATTTGTTAGAAATGTTTTTCTTCTTCTTGCAGGAGTACATGCCAAACCTGCAGATTATGTGTGAGAGTTTTGGGCAATTTCTTCTTATAGTGAAGTTCCCAGAGGAGAAAGCAAGTCAGTACTTACCAGAGAGGAGGCGAGAGATTGAGAAAAGCTCCTTTTGTCTGTTCTTTGTAGGTTCTTCCTTACCTAGGTAAGAATTTCTTGCATTGTATCTGCAATGATAATACAATACATACATTTAATCACGTTTACTTTGGTTGATGTTATTTAAATATTATCCTAATAGTTTGTATAGTTCAAAGGGAAACTTTTATGTCATCTAAGAGTTTCAGAATACTGTTAGAGTATCATTGAATAATGAGTGTTTGTTGAATCGTTTGCCACTTTCTCCCTTTGGTGAAAGCAAGGATCAACATGAAATGGAAAAGTTCAGGAGACTTGAAATGGAACACACAGACAGGTTTAACCCGTAGTACAGCATCTCCTTTAATGCAGTGTTTCCCCGGTATTGGACTATCAATCCAGACAGTAAGCTTAAAGTCTCAACATGGGGCTTGAATCCACAACCTTCTGATTCAGACAAGAGTGCATCCGACTGAGTCAGTCAAACACCTATGCAATGTTGATGTGCTGTACATGATGCTTGAAATACAGCAATGTTTTCTGTGATATTTAACGTTTCTTTGCTATGTCTAATATAAGTTGTATGGAGGAGGACTGTGAAGAAGGCTTCCTGAAGGGTGCTGAGAGCAGGCCTTTGCTAATCTACCACAGACTGGACCTCAATAGTGAATGTTCAGATGCAGTACACCAGCTCATTGATAAAGTATCTGCAAACCAATCTCAAAAAGCAAAGGTACTGTGCAAAGTCATTTACACTATTTTAAAAAAAGTAACTTGCTCATTCTGTTTTATCCTTCCCTCAATTGCTACTGTGTAAACAATATAACATCTGGGAAAGACATGCAAAGTGTGAATGAAGAGTATCCCCCTGTACATCACTTTGACTCGCAACAACAAGAACAACAAAATTAAATTTGTATAGCACCTTTCACCTTGGGAGGATGTCCCAGGGCACTGGACAGACAGAGTTACGGATTGTGCTGAGGGTCTGGGTGGGGGCGGATGGAGGCCAGGGGGGAAGCAGGGAGATCAAAAGCATGGTTGAAGAAGAGTCTTGAGGTGGGTCTTGAAGGTGGCGAGGGAGGGGGCAAGACGGAGGGACTGTGGATGGAGTTCTAGAGGAAGGGCGCAGAGTGACGGAAGGCTCACCCGCCAATCGTGGGGCGAGCAAGGCGGGGGACGTGAAGCAGGCCGGAGCTCACTGAGCGGAGAGAGCGAACAGGGTTGTAGGGGGTTAGGAGGTCGGAGAGGAGGGGGGATCAAGACCATGGAGGGTTTTGAAGGAGAGGACCAGGATCTTGAACTGTATCCTCTGTGTGATGGGAAGCCAGTGGAGTTGGGCAAGGATGGGGGTGATAGGGTTGTGGAGCCTAATACGGGAGAGGACACGGGCTGCAGAGCTCTGGATGATCTGCAGCCTGTGGAGGGAGGAGTTGGGGAGGCCGACAAGCAGTGAGTTTGCATAGTCGAGCCTCGATGTAATGAAGACGTGTATGAGGGTTTTGGTGGCCTGCGATGTGAGACAGTGTGGGAGCTGGGGGCGATGTTGCGGAGGTGGGGGAAGGCAGAGCAGGTCATGGCGCAGATGTGGGGTAGAAAGGAGAGTTGAGGGTCAAACAAGACCCCAAGGTTCCGGACTGGCTTAGCAAGGGCGAGTGTGCAACCATGGATGATTAGCGCCTGAAGTGAGAAGGCGCTGACGGGAGCCAATCAGGACAGCCTCGGTCTTGTTGACATTCAACTGAAGAAAGTTAGCTCTCATCCAGGACTTGATGTCTGACAGACATTTTGTCAGGACAGCAGTGGTCCTGGAGTTGAGGATGGAGGCAGAGAGATAGAGTTGGGTGTCATCCGCATACGTCTGGAAGTTGACCCCATATCTGTGGATGATGTCACCAAGAGAGAGCATATAGATGTTGAAGTGGAGGGGACCAAGGACAGAGCCCTGAGGAATGCACAATACGGTCTGGAGGCTGGAGGAGAAGCCGTTTGAGGAGATGAAGTGCAGGCGGTGTGAGAGGTACAATCTGAACCAATCAAGGACAGCGCTGTGGAAGTTGAGGTGAGAGGCGAGGCGGTGGATAAGGATAGAGTGGTCGTCGGCGTCGAAAGCAGCAGAGACGTCAAGGAGGACGAGGCAGGCAGAGGGAGTCCTGGTCGCAGATGAACAGAATGTCATTTGACCAGGGCTGTTTCTGTGCTGTGGGCGGCAGGGAAACCTGATTGGAGGGGTTCGAGAAGGGAGTGGCGGGAGAGGAAAGAGTGAAGCTGAGAAGCAACAACTCGTTCCAGGACCTTGGAGAGGAAGGGGAGGTTGGAGATGGGGAGTAGAAAAGGGTCCAGGGAGGGTTTTTTAAAGATAGAAGTGATGACAGCGGTCGATGGAGCAAGACCTCGACTAAGATCTTGTTCAGAGTCAATCTTGTGAGTCTTGTCTGTTATGTTATGAAATGTTAAAATTACACTTTTAAAGCTAGTTTACTGAAATGAGTAATTTGTTTTCCTTTTAGATCATTAAACATAGTGGAAGTGCAGAGGAAGGAGCTAAAAACGTTTTTATCCAAGTAGAAAAGATTATCAAACAGGTAATATATGGACTGGAACCTGATTACTTGATTGGACTGAATTTCCTTTGGATTTAAAAGTACTTTCAATGTTTTATTATCTAATTCGGAAACAGCCCTGTCCTACAAGTGGAGTTGTGATAATTATATAATAAAGTTTTAACGTGATAATTTGGTTATTTAGGAATTGCTGGGCTTAGAAAACACTGATCTGGAGAACAAAGATTCTGGGATTGAAGATGATTCTACCAATTGGGAAGATGAGGACTTTGGAGATGTAATATGGAATATGCATGATGAGCAGGAACAGATAGAAGCTTTTCAACAAGCTTCTAAATCTGTCTGTGAATTAGGATTTGAGAAGGTACTGATTACTTTAGGTTTCATCCCATGTTTTCCAGTCATTGGATATCAGTAGGTTCTCATAATTGGAGAGAACTAGGTAATTGGGAAGCCCTGAGATATTATTATTATTGTTATTTCTAAATTGAAGTTAAACAGTCGAATGTGGATAAGGAACATTTCTTCAGTCACATGTTTTTTGTGAAGTAACATTTTATCTTGCCACAGAGTTGTTGCTGCAAGCCCTTAAAAAGGATCACTGTTAGTTAATGTAAAAAGAATGACCATCCACAGAACTTGTGGTTTCCCATTTAAAATACTGTTCGAAAAGAAAAATATATTGTTTTCAAACGCATTGGAAAAACCTCAAATACTGTAGCTTGAAACAAAGCAGTTAATGAATGCCTCATGTGGAGTCCCGCATTGTATTGGTTGGAGCACTCGTCTCGCAAGCAAGAGACGAGTGGGTTTGATTCCCTGGTGAGGCGAAACATTAGGCAAGTTTCCTTACTGCACAAGCCTGTTTACCTAGCAGTAAGTAGGAATCCCATTGTTAGTTGATTGGAAGATCACTTTTCTGGGGTAATTATCCCTTAAATTTTTTAAAAGAATATTAATAATTTGGTCCCTCAATCCACTATTGTTTATGGGACACTGCTGTGCGCATTTGGCTACTGTGTTTCTCCCACAAAATATACAGTCAATTAACTTTACAGTATATTCAATGAAGCGCTTTGAGATGTCTCAATGAGGTGTAAGGCGCTGTAACAAGCGCTATATTCAGCACTTTGGGACGTCCTTCCGACGTGCAAGGCGCTCTATAAATGTAATTTTGTTGTTGTATCAAATGCAGGGATTATTATTAGTATCTGTTTTCAGTACTATGATCGGCTGAATGATCTTGTGACGGCTCCTGCACCCATACCTCCGCTTCTTGTGTCAGGTGGTCCAGGCTCTGGCAAATCTCTTTTGCTATCCAAATGGTATGTTCATATTATAGTACTCACAAGATACTTCATATTTCTCATATTCTGCTGTATAAAATTTATAGTTGTCAAAGTCACCGAAAATCTAAGCTGTGGCTATAGATACTTTGTAGTGTATTCTCTGAGGAAGGCAGGGAGTGGCGTTTATTTAAAATACTGTTTAGAGATGTAATATGGAATATGCATGATGAGCAGGAACAGATAGAAGCTTTTCAACAAGCTTCTAAATCTGTCATCTCTGAAAGAAACGGAGAACTGTGTATTCAGTGATCTTTTTGTTAGTGTGTTCTAACTATCCTTATGTAAAGCTGACTGAATTGCATTTTTGGATGAGGGTGCGGTGAAATCTCCCATCCACCTGATTTGAGTTTACAACAACAATTTTATATTTATATACTCTCTTTCACGTTGAGAGGATGTCTCATGGCACTTCACAGAATCGTCTGGGAGCCTGAACTGGAGGTGGGGGTAGCTGAGGAAGAAAGGGAAAGAGAGGTGGGAAGGATACAATATAAAAGTTAGGAGGTGATGTTGAATTTTTACAAACCTTGATTAAACCACATTTGGAGTTTTATGTCCAATTCTGGTCTGCACACTATAAGGATATAGCATTGATGAAAAGTGTTAAGGATAGGTTTACGAGGATAATATCAAGACCAACAGGTTACTGATATCAGGATAGATTAGATAGGTTAGGCCTTTTATCACAAGAGAAAAGATGTTTAAGGGGGAAGTTTTTACAATTCTATAAGGGGTTAACAAAAATAGACTGTTTCCACTGTTTGGGGAATCCATAACCAGGGCCCACAAATATAAGATAGCGGCTAGGGGATCTAAAAGAGAATTTAGAAGGAACTACTTCACGTGGAGTATAAGGAGCATATAAAACTGAATGCCCAAAATAGTGGTTGAATCAGATGGTACAGATGCAGTCAAGAGGAAGCTAGATATACAGGTGAGAGAAAACGGTGTGGGAGGGAATAAGGAAATGGTTATTTTTTAAAAGTAATATATTTTATTTGGAAGAAATTCTTTTTGTAAATCCAAAATCTGTGAACAATATTGAGCCTTGCATTTTACATTGATGGGTTTTTATTGTTCCAGGATTGGCCACCAACAAAAATGCTCACCTAATACCTTAATATTATATCATTTTGTGGGGAAGCCCCTATCGACCAGTTCTGAGCCAGCACTGATAATTAAAAGATTTACTGCAAAGGTATGTTATCACACTTTTATTCTATGACAAATTTCAACCCTCCCATTACCTTACAAAGATTTACAAAGCACCTACAGCAATGGAAACAGGACACTCATCCCAACCGGTCCGTGTCGGTGTTTGTACTCTACTTGAGTCTCCACCCACTCATTACTCCCTCCCATTCCCTTTTATTACCCTAACGTGAAGGTCTAGCTTCCTCTTGAATCCATCTATTCTGTCTGATTCAGCCACCCCTTCAGGCAGTGAGTTCCACAATCTCGCTACTCTCTGTGTAAAGTAGTTCCTCCTAAATTCTTTGCTTAGATCCTGTAGTTGCTATTTTATACATTGTCCCCTGGTTATGGATTCCCCAGCATTGGAAACCTTATCAAACCCTTTTATAATTTTAAACACCACTTTATGGTCCCTTCTTAAATGTCAAAAAGGCCTAATCTCTTCAGTCTATCCTGATGCAGTTCTATTTTGTTCTACTGGGAGGGGGAAAGAAAAATAAAAACGGGACCATTGCAACTAGGCTCAATCCTTTCCTGATCTGATGTTCACAAGTCCACTTCAAGCAGAGATCATTGGATTGCAATCAGAAATGGAAACGCTGATTGATTTTTCCCACCATCTTATTGAAGCTTTGGAACAACTGTAGTGTCTGTAGTAAAGGGTCTGTTGTTGTTGAGTGTATAATAATGAATCAGAATTTGTTGTGTCTTTGTTTATAGCTATTGCAGCATTCCTGGTCTATGTCTGCCCTATCTTTGGACCCAAGTAAATTACTGGAAGAATTTCCCCGATGGCTGGAGAAACTGTCTGCACGCCACCAAGGCAGCATAATTATTATCATAGATTCCATAGATCAAATCCAGGTATGAATTAAAATTGAAGGAAACTGGTTACCGACCGGTGGAATTTTCTCCCCAATAAAAATAAATAGTTGGTGAGTTAGTGATTAGAGGGCATCAATTTAAGATAGATAGTACATGAGTAAATGGGGAGGTTGGAAGAAGTTTTTTCACATACACAGCAGATAGTACATGAATTGCCCTGTCAGAATTGAGACAGAATCCATATTGACTTTTAAAAAGGAACTAGATAAATACCTTAAAAGGAGTCAGCTACAGGGGTATGGGAAAAGGGCAGAAAATGGGACTAATAGGATTGCTGTTAAAGGAGCTGGCGCAGGCATGATGGGCTGAATAGCCTCCTTCTATGCCGTATATTTCTATGGTTCTGTTTAAGTAAACTACTACACATCAGAAAAATGGGTGCATCAGTATAAGGTATAAGTTTATATCTGTTCTGTTTTGGTATTAAAATCTGTCGACATTTAAGAGCATTATTTTAAAACACCAAACAACTTTCTTATAGTCACAAAGTGAATTGTTTCAATATTGTGCATTAATCTGCTCAGGATTTACAGTGTAGTTTAATTGGATTGTTTCATTATCTTTTACTGGCATAGTCCTATAGTTAGGTTTGAACAAAATGTTCTAAACTGCATGGACCTATATTTTGATTTGAATTGCTATCTTCACCTTGGGGCTTTTCCAGTTGAACACTCAGTTTGATCTATTGTGCATCATCTGCAAATGCAAGGATTAATGTTATTATGTATACAAGGCAATTGCAGGTCCTGTTAATTATGTTATTAACAAAATTCTTTCAAGTATATAATTCAGAGCACCTGTGATTTGTGCATGTGTGTTTACACATCACAAGATTGGTCTGGATAAAGAAGGCCCTTCGGGTCTTTTGATCTCATCTCTCGAGAACACAACCCTATCATCCTCTTGTCACAACACTGAGCTGCTTTTTAAATGAACCTAGTGTCCTAGTCTCAACCACCTTTCCTCCTGGCCTGTTCCAGTCATTTATTACCTTCTGTGTAAAGAAAAACATCTTGATATCTATCCTACAATTGCCTTTTACAATTCTAAAGCTATGTCCTCTTGTTCTACTTCTACTAAAGAAATAATCTGGATTTACTTTGTCAATCCCATTTAAAATATTGTACACTTCTATGAGGTCCCCTCTGAATCATCTTTTCTCTGAAGAGCCCTATCTTGTCTAATCATTGCTGCATATGGTGCATAATAGATCCCAATACGATATAATTTACATTCATATGGTGCCTTTCGCATTGAGAGGATGTCTCAAAGTGCTGCAGCTGGACACTCAAGGTGGTGGGTTAGGCGCTGAAGAGAGTGGTTAAAAGCGAGAGGACATGGATTCGCTTGCTGGGCAGGGCGAAACGTTGGGCAAGTCTCTTTACTCCACACGCCTCTGTTCGTAGAATTATACAGCACAGAAGAAGGCTATTTGGCCCAAATTGTCTGTGCCGGCTCTTTGAAAAGAACTATTCAATCCCACTCTCTCCCCATAGCCCTGCAAACTTGTCCTCTCCAAATAATTATCTACTTCTCTCTTAAAAGCTGTTATCGAATAGGCTTTCACCACCCTTTCTGGCAATGCATTCCAGATCCGAACAACTCGCTGTGTAAAAAGGTTTGCTTCACCTCTCCTCTGTTTCTTTTAATAACTATTTTAAATCGGTGTCCTCGGGTTACCGATCCACCCACCAGTGGAATTAGTTTCTCCTTGTTCACCCTATTGAATCTTCTCAAAAGTTTGAAAACTTCTATTAAGTCTCCTCTTAACCTTCTCTGCTCCAAGGAGAATAATCCTAGCTTTTCTAGCCACTTCTGATAACTGAAGTCCCTCATTCCTGGTAAATCTCCTTTGCACCCTTTCCAATGCATTGACATCCTTCCTAAAGTGTGGTGCCCAGAACTGAACACAGTACTCCAGCTGAGGCCTAATCAGTGTTTTATAAAGGTTCATCATAACTTCCTGACTTTTGTATTCTATGCCCCTATTTATAAAGCCTAGTATCCCATATACTTTTTTAACAGTGTTTACCTAGCAGTAAGTAGGAACCCGTTGTTAGTCGATTGGCGGATCGCTTTTTTGGGGATAATAATCCCTATAAAATAAAATTCGAATTTGGTCACTCAATCCACAACTGTTTGTGGGATGCTGCTGTGTGCAATTGGCTGCCATGTTTTGCCCACAAAATACATATTGTGTGAAGCTCTTTGAGATGTTTCAAAGACTTGATAAGGCGCTATATCAAATGTAAGAATTATTATTATTTTGCTATCGATCATTTGGTGATTGTCTGCTGATTATGTTCTACTTCTGCACTTTCAGCAAGCTGAACGGCACATGAAGTGGCTGATTGATCCGTTGCCTGTGAATGTAAGGGTGATTGTTTCTGTAAATGTGGAAACATGCCCGCAAGCATGGAGGTTGGTAACTGAATTTTGCAGTTTATAGTTTACTCTTATAAAGCTGCACGATGCCCATTCCAGTTAAGTGCAGTGATTTAATCTGATGCGAAACTCAAATGATTTATTTTTTCCACTTTTCCATTTCACTAGTTGCTCATTGTCTATAGCTTAAGTTTTTGAACACAAAATCTAGATTGGACACACTTGGGCCAAATAAATCCTGATAATCCCTGATTATCAGTTTTATCCAGAACATTTTTCATCTCTACTCATAAATAGCCGTGATTCAAATATCAAAATAGCACTACATTGGAGAATAGAAATAGACTATATGGCTCTGTCTCTGAGGCAAGAATGTTACCAGCTAGTCTTTCTGTTTTTTTTATTTTATTTTCAAACAGAATTATGGGATCTTTAATGTCTGCCTGAAGAATAGGCAGATGAAATCTTAGTTTTTGCATTTCATCTGAAGAACAAAATGTCTATCATTGGAGTATCCAGCCTAGGTGACAAACTGAAGTTCTGATGTAGGCTTGTCAAAAGGATTAAACAATTAAGCATTATATAATTGTATAATTGCATAACAGAATGTGAGGTTGTAGTTGGAAGTTGTGTGCACCTGCATCAGTGAGTGTGAAGTGTTTGTTTTTCAGTACAAATCATAAATTCTTTCATTATTGTTTTTCTGTCAGATTATGGCCAACTCTACACCTTGATCCACTGAGTCCAAAGGATGTAAAGGCTCTGATTAATGCTGAATACTGCCTTGTTGATATGAAACTTACTAAAGAACAGGTAGATTACCAAATAGGAGTTCTGGGATAAGCTATGTCTAGAATATTGTTGACTGAGTCCTGAATGGATAATAATTTTAGCATGTTAACATGTTAAGACTTATTTACTCATTTTCAAAAATATTTTTCAATCAAATCCAGGAGAAGAAACTGGAGAAGCATTGTAGATCTGCGACTACCTGTAATGCCCTGTATGTTACACTCTTGGCCAAAATAATCACAGAGTAAGAGGCTTTTAATTGTGCTTTATGTTTTAATTGCATGTAATGCCTTAATGTGTACCGCAAACGGCTTATAAATTGAATTCTCAGTTATAGCAAGGTATTCTGGGTCCACTGCCTCAGATACCTATCTCCCTGTCTAACAGACCAACATCACTTTCTTCACACAAGCACAACATGCGCAGGAAGCACTGCTGATGTTGTTTCCTGAGTGCTGCACAAGTGGGCAGTGGCTGACCAAGTGCCACTTCCATCGGAAAGTGACATTTGTGTGTCTTCCTGTACACAGCATGCACGCACTGGGAGCAAGAAGGAATGTTGGCAGAGATTTGCCATTCTGCAAGTTGCATTTTTAGTGGATGAAGCCAGCTGGTCCACAAACTAAGATGTAAGAATACATCTCTACCAATAACCAGAGGTCTATAGGGTACTCATGCTAAAAGCAAACCAGTGCTCCAGTGAGGCACTCAACCGTTGCCCAGTATCTCCTTTTGCAAGGAAGACACAATGATTTATCTGGACATCTTTCTATCATACCTGATGCGAAATGTTGTTCTATGGTGTGAAACTGGCCACTTTTCTTTTCTTGAGCATGTTCAGAAGTTGCTCAGGAAGTTCAAATTAGAGCTAATGCTGGGTTTTGAAGCTGTAACTCTAAGTTGGAAGTTTAGTACTTGTCTGTTACTGGTGTCAAATACAATTTTAATATGAAGTGTTCTGTAATGACTTTATGTTCATGAATGTAATGATTTATATGGTCATACAGTAGTTCACTGTAGTTTCTCTGTTAATGAGAAAGCTGCAAGTAATGGGTATGTCAGAGTTCAACATATATTAATCATCGTCTCAGTAACATACTCTTTATATGGCTCCCAAATGCTGTGTTACAATATAAAGAGAGTTTACCATATTTGGACTGAATTCAGTAAAAGCTTTGCATGGTTTTATTATGTAGCACTGATTCTGATGCAAACCGTGTCTCTTTGTTTAGTGCCAAAGGTCTAGGAGACATGGATTTGATTCTACAGCACTGTTTCCAATGTCAGGATACAGTCTCTTTGTATAGGCTAATCCTGCAATCTGTCCAAGTGTCCCTGTCTACTGATCAGGACAGGCAACTGATGAGAGAGGTAAGGAATACAAAGCCTTTTTATCAATGGTTAATGCCATTTAAATGTAGTCCTGATTTATGCAGTAACTGGATTATACTGATTAAATGTATATTATTCCTTTCACCTGCACTAAACAGACAATTTTTTTTAATGGTCTCCTGCTTTGAAAACAGCTCATTCTTTAGATCAAATGAAAAAAAATCCTTTTTTTGGTCAGCCAGGTGTTGACACATGGGCAAACCCATCACCATATTTACGAGCATCCAAACTAATCAACATATGGCCATTTAAAATATCACTGTTCCATGTGTGAGTGGCAAACATATATGTGTTGAACTCTGTCTGGTTTTGATGCTCTTAAACATGGTGATGGGTGTCCATATGCATCAATGCCCAGCTGACCAAAAATACTGCTTTATAATATAAATATCAAATTTATATTCTGCATGGAAATTCAAAACTGAAATGCAGCAATTTCTTAAGCGGCTTTATTGGATAGTGGTAATAATGTTAAACCATAATAGTAGCTTTCAGAACAAATATCTACAGATTTTGGATATGAAAGCTACAAGTGCCTTGATATCTGTAACAATGTGATGCATATAATGTGTTCAAAATGTACAGAAGGCAACTTGTTCCTTAGGAATAAAAAGAAGGGTTGGCTAGATAACTGGAGCAGAGAAGGGTAAGAGGGGGTCTATTGGAAAAATGTAAATTATGAAAGATTTTGAGAGGGCAAATAACAAAATATTATTTTTACTGGTTGGTGAATTGGCCAAAATGTGGTATAAATACAAAATTGGCACTAAAGTACAAAAGGAAAGTTTGCAGAATAGTGTTCACATGAAAAATAATTGGGATGTAGAACAGATTACTGGAAGTGCCTGTTGAAGCCAAGTCAATTAAAATATTTAATAGAAATTCAGATATAACCACATGAAGATTGAAGCTATAAAAGAGTACGAAGAAAGAGTAGGAAAATGGAATTACAGTGAATAATGGTAGTGGGGATATAAAATGGCCCAGGGCAAAATGATCTTCATCTGCAGGGACATTTCCATTTTCCTAAATGTTCTGTGAAGTGGATTTTTTTCTTTATGTTCAATACTGGCTGATCTCTCTCCCCTACCCACCATACCTGGTTTTCGTTTTATGTGGAATCCTGTAGCTTAGTGGTTAGAGCACTCGCCTCGCAAGCGAAAGGACCTGGGTTTGATTCTCGGGCGAAACACTGGGCAAGTTTCCTTACTCCATACGCCTCTGTTCACCTAGCAATAAGTAGGAACTCGATTGTTAATCGATTGGCAGATCACTTTCTTGGGGGTAATAATCCCTTCAAAAAAAATAATCATTTGGTCACTCAATCCATGACTGTTTGTGGGACACTGCTGTGTGCAATTGGCTGCCATGTTTCGCCCACGAAATATACAGTCAATTCACTTCACAGGTATATTCTGTGAAGTGCTTTGAGATGTCAATAAGGCTCTGTATCAAATGCAAGGATTATTATTATGCATCATTTAATTCTGTGTGCAAACAATAAGTGTCATTTAGCTTTTTATGGAATATACAGGTGGTAAATTGTACAGTTTTTTTCACACGTGTAAGGAATGAGGATTTTTTCCTTGACCTCTGTATTTACTATCATTGTTGTATTTTCAACTAAAAGGAATTACACCTTTATCTGTTTTTTTTTAAAAAAAGGTAATGTATTTTGTGACCTGGGTGTTATCCCTGTTAGATCCTATCTCTTATCTACGCGAGCCACAATGGTGTGAGTGAAGGAGAACTCCTGGAGATGTGCACAGATTTGACCTGGCCTGTCCTTGCCTCTACTCTTCACAGCTTAGAGTGCATGTATGTGATCACATATTGTTGCGGACTGCTGAAGTTTCAGCATCTTCAGGTGAGAATAGCTGATGATGTGTTCTACCTATTTCTCTTTTACTTTCCCACTTCCTTTTCTCCCTTTCCCTGTAGCTTGGGTATAGTTAGTTCACTGGGTATCTGCAACCCTCCAGAATATCAGTAATATGACTTCTTCATATTAAAGTTGAGACAGTGGCTGTTAGCAGATAATTCGACTGTGTGGATGGGAATCAATACATCCTGCTTACAGACGTATGCTTTCAGCAGGGCTCATTGGGTAGCGATCGGGGGGGTAGCACCTTTTTTTCTAATTTGTGGCAAACTGTATCACATTTTTTTGCTGTTCCAGATAAGATCAGCACCCTGCACAGATAGCTGATAGAAACTGGGACCTTTCTGGTCTGTGTAGCTCAGAACCTCACCAGGTGTTTCATGTGCTCATTTTGCCATTTGGGTAAAGCAGACCTATTTCTTATTTGAAAATTGAGGGACATTGGCACTTATTGTATTTCCAAAGTTGTGTGTAGTGCAGACCTGTTACACCCCACTTCATTATAGCGCTGATTTATTTATAATGCGAATGGATTGTAGCTCCCATTCACTGTGCATGCACTAAGCTGGATAGCCTACTGTGTTATAATGAGCTTCCACTGTAGTAATGGTATATTTTTTATTAGAATAAATGCATTACTGTTCTGCGAAAAACTCGTTTTATATTTTTATGTCAGGCTTTAAAATTCAGAAGGGAGGGGCTGAAAATTTGCATTAATTTTATGTGCAGGTTCTTCCACTCAGCTACTGTTAATCCTGCAAGACATAGCCGTAACAAGTAGGGTGGTCTTAGCTGGATAAGCAGCAGAAACTGTGTTTTTAGCTGGTTAAACTACAGCATTATTGCAACATACCCTCTGGGGTCCCAATCAATGCTAAATAAGTGCTCTGAGATGCTGCCCTGTGTGAAGAGCACTATATAAATGCAAATTGTTGTTGTAATAATGTTCGGAAGTAGATCAGCAGGGTGTGGTGAAAGTGTGTATCCCATTAACAAACACGGGAATTTGCATGTATATGTCTGGTTTGGGTACTCTTAAGCATGTTGATGAATTTCCACATCTGTCAGATATCCAACTGACCAAAACAATCCTATGCTAACTTCTTAGTGTTTAGTGTCAACATTTCAAGTGGTAAATAATCTTTTTTTTATCTCAAGGCCTGGGAATCTGTGAAATTGGAATATATGGAGAATGATGAAAACAATGCTCTCTCAACACACAGAGAAAAGCTTGTCCAGTTCTTTTCACAGCAACTGAGGTATTTTTAATTTCACAAGCAATACCAAGCAGTAATTTTGGCTTGTTATTTTTATACATCTTTTTCTTTCCATTCTTTAAAAATGTATATTATTATTTTTGTCACTTCTGTCCCCTCCTTTTGAACTGTTCTAAACAGAATATGTAGTGGGTGAGCTGCTATCAGATGTCTGCTTTGCTGTTCTGTAAGCAAATGCTTGCTATAAAATTTATTTGATTTTTTAAAAAAAAGTAGGTTTTTTCACTCCACTTTGTATCAGTTTCCAGAAAGAATAAATATCTTAATCTTCATTCTTCCAATCCAGCCACTTAATGTCTCCATGATATTGAGGAGTAGGGGATTCATACCAAACTGATTGAAGGGAATGCTTGTTTCTAAAAATTATTGGAAATACTTTCAATAGTAATAAAATATAAATAAAATAGTAATTTCACCCACAAAATACACAATCAATCCACTTTACAATATATTATGTGAAGCACTTGGAGACGTCTCAATGACATAATAAAGTGTATATCAAATACAAGAATTATTATTATTATTAATGGGACTAATCCAATAGGACAGTCCTATTCAACTTGAATGTCCTGGAGGTAAAAGTATGGAAAATAATACTTTTTAAAATCTTTGTTTTTGTACAACGCACCCAGTATTTTAATTAATTAAGCGTGGTGTTCAACTAGCATTTCATTCAAAGGTTCAAACCTGACAAAATGAATTAAATTCGCTTTGAAAATCCTTTCAAACAGAAACATCCCTTTGCCATAATCTGTCGATTCATTCCTCAGTCTTTCAGTCTCTTAACTACTATATAAACCAATGTTTTTCACTGCCCATTTAGATTCACTCTGTGTGCTCCTAATATTTCTTTCCTCCCTTCTGAATTTCAATTTAATTTTAATAAAGTGGGCAGGACATGTGAGATTACGGTGGTTATGTGAAAACAAGGGGTGCGTGCTTGAATTCAGAACTGATGTATGAAAAAAAGCAAGTGCTGATAACAACAACAACCACAACAACAAATTACATTTGTATAGCGACTTTCATGTCAGGAGGATATCCCAAGTTGGGATCAGGAGGGGTGGAGGTCGGGCAGGCTAGGGGTAGAAGGGTGACATTGTCGAAGAAGAGGGTCTTGAGACAATTCCACAAGAGTGGTTCTGTAGTATTTGTTCTGGCTATTGTTGTTTTAGTCCTGTTTTCAAAGTGGCTAAAGTGTATTCTTATTGAGGAAGCATTATGTTCTAATCTTGAGTAATCCTGTGATTTTTCAGTCGGGACAGAGTAACCTGGCGGGCTGCAGATGAACTTCCCTGGCTCTTCCAGCAGCAGGGAGACAAAGAGAAGTTACACAACTGCTTACTGAATCTCTTTGTCTCTCAGAATCTTTATAAGCGGTAAGACGCTAGCCTTCTCAGTCCTTCAGCTTTTTTTTAAAAGAAAATAAATACGTTTGGAGGATTTCCATTTGGAAATTTCCTGTTAATCCATGGCTGCAGTGACAGGTTTGTGTGGCTCAAGGTCTGCTTGTGGGATCATGGCAGTTCCAGTTGGGTGATTAATCGATGTTAAAGGAAATTTGTATTTTTGAGTTTTTACTATGGTAGGATCTATCTTGGAGTACACTGTAAGAGGAAAATCTATTATGCGATTAACTAGTATGGATCCGTAAATCATCTTCTAATTACCATAACAGTTCCAAAATTCAGAATATTAACACTTAAAACATTGCAAGTTTTGTAAAGGTAGTTCATAAATTAGTGAAAATCTGACAATCCTATTAATGATTCTGAACTACCCATTTATAAAAGTGCTTCCAGCAGAGTTTCTATTCATCACAGTTCTCCTTTTGTGTACGCCTTGTTGTCAAGAGCAGGAATAATAAATTCCTTCTGTGGGTGTGTATAATTCTGCACATGTGCACCCATTTAGAGGTGTATGTCTCCTTTTTACGTCTGTGCAATTTGTCATCTGGATCCACTGGAATACCAAATTAATCTCCAATCAGTCTAGCGACTGGAACGTTAAACAAGAATGTTGTTTAATCACAAAGTGCTGAATCAATTTGCATCTCAGATATCCTGAATCGCAATTTCAGGGAAGTTTCTGAATATAATGAGCTGAACCAAGCAGTTGGAATATTTTCATTCATCAGGCTTTTCAACTTTCTTCTATTAATTGTTTTTAATATTAGTATGTTATATTTATTAAGTATTATTCTTTTAAGGGGCCATTTTGCAGAGCTGCTGTACTACTGGCAGTATGTCGGAATGGATAAGAGCTCCATGGCTGCTGCTTACTTCGAGTCTTTGAAAGAATATGAGAAGAGCTGTGAGGGCGAGGACATGATCACACGGCTGGCAGACCTTTATGAAACACTAGGACTCTTTCTGAAGGACTTGGGCCTGCTGAGTCAGGTACTTACTATGATTTATTCTCAATGCTACCGAATCCATATTTATTCATGCTTGGACATGTTTGCTGGATTTTTATTCAACTGAGCTGGAATTTTGCATTATATTTTCTTTTCATTCACAAAATGTAGGTGTAGAACTAATCTATTCATTCTTGCTGCTTAACTCTTTGTAAAGGATTTCTTATTTGGTTTTGGTTAGCTAGGCATCTGAAACCTGCAAAAACCTACTTGTATGTATGATATTTAGTTCTATATTTGATTACCGTGGTCCTGCTTGGCTTTGCCAGTGCAATCCCAAGGAGACCCCCTTGCTTCCATTCTGTTTTTTTTCTCATTCTTATCCCCTCGTCCTGTATATTTTTTAGACATGATGCTCATTTCATTGAACGTGAAAGGATGAAGAGCTGAGTCAACTGCAGGTTCAAATCTAAACTTTTTCAGTCCCAGTGCTCACCTGTCTGTGCTCTCCATGATATCTGGATATAGACTATAGCATTAGTTTTTTTTATTAAAGCAGCATTTCTATTATAAGGCAACATGATATTAGCTCATGAATTTCTTCTGTTACATTTTATGGGGCATTTCACAGCAAGTCAGAATGGTGGAATCTTGAAGACTCCATTTCAATGACATTTAAGTGCAATTCTAATGTATTTGCTATAAATATTCAGGCTATTGCAAGACAATCCAAACCTGGTGTCTGGTATATCTCACAACTACTATCAGTAAGGCTGTTTTGGGGATTCTGGGCAAAATGTGTTATTTGTGGTTTGTCTTGTTTCCAGGCTGTTGCACCGTTACAACGTTCTCTGGAGATCCGAGAGAGCGCATTAGATCCAGATCATCCCAGTGTGGCTCAGGCATTGCACCAGCTTGCTGGTGTATATGTGCAGTGGAAGAAGTTTGGAAATGCGGAACAGCTGTACAAGCAGGCACTCGAGATCAGTGAAAATGCCCATGGCTCTGAGCATCTTCGAGTAGCTCAGGAGCTGGATGCTCTAGCAATGCTTTATCAAAAACAAAATAAGTAAGTGCTTCTGATACTGCAGGAGATCATCACTGCTTTTTAAATCAAAATGAGTCTTAACTATTGCAATATTAAGTGAGCCGGCACAATTATTGCAATTAATTCTTGAGATATTTAAAACCTATTTAAAATGTTTTTCAAACTCATTCAGATGTTTTGAAGATCTTCCAGGCAACTTTGATGGTGTTGAGAGCAATCTGTTTTTAGGATCATTACTTTTACATAGTAATCATTAAATAAGACTTTTTTTAATTACACTTTTAAATTTAAATTAAAATTTCTTACATGTTGTAATATTGTTTTCTCCTGCTGGCAAATTTTCTTTTCTTTGTTTTGAGATATGAACAAGTGGAGTCATTAAGAAAGCGTTCCATGAAGATAAGACTAAAGGTTTCCAGACAGAAAGGCAACTTGGTAAGGATTAAGAGAATTTCAATATTTAATTTTCATAAGTTTTAAACTCTCCTTCATTCCTCTATCTGTGCACATCTCGAATGGAACAATCCATCAGATTGAAGCTCAATGGAAGGAAAAGGTACACAAGATGGAAACTTATCCTGTAAATGCATTTGCATGGTTCTCACTTAACAGCGGTTTAGATTACAGCTAGAAAAAATGACTGGGGCATTCTGCACCTGAAATAGGATTTGGAAAGTTGAGAGAACTGTTACTTTGAGGTATTTCTGTATATTTGCTATTTTTAAATAGTGACTGATGCATAAAATTTTCCACAAACAGCATTGAAATGATCACAATTTGCTTGCCTTTTCAGCCTGGTTTCGCTATTCTTCGTCGTCGGGTTCTGCAGTTAGAAGAGCTTACTCTAGGGACTGAGTCAGCAGACACTGCTCGGACCTTGAATGAACTGGGGGTGCTGTACTATCTTCAAAACAACATGGAGTAAGTGTATGGTAGATATGAATAATTTATCAATTTGTGAGTAGTTTGGTAAGTAAGGCCCACTAAAGATTAATACAAATTTACATGATGTCTAGAGGACATCCCAAAGCGCTTAACAGTACTGGCTGGGCACCCGAGCTATGGGTGGGAGCTGAGTGGGGTGGGTATAGATGACGAAAAGCTGGTGAAAGAGGTAGGTCTTGAGACAGACTTTGGACAAGGTGAAGGAGGGACTCCGATATTGAGTTCCAGAGAGTGGGTGCGAAAAGGCATAATGCCTGCCTGTCAGTGGTGTAGTGGATAGGGTTGGGGACATGCAGCAGGCCAGAGCTGACTGAGCAAAGGGAGTGGCTTGGTTGGTGGGGTGTTTGTAATAGGTTTGACTTCCACTGTGTAGTTGCAAATCTCAATAATAGACCTTGCATTTGACGTAGAGCCCCACCACGTCGCTGAGAAGCTTCACAGACTATACTGTAAAGTATATTGTACCTTTTGGGTTAAAAATGTAATTAAGATTACTTTCTGAATATTATTTAAATTCTATGGTTATTTTAAGATCAAATTGTTTTCCATCATCCTTGTTTTTCATATTATTAACATAGATATATAATGTTCTGGATATATTCAATTAATGTGATTTTAAAATTTGGATGAATTATCTTGTTGCTAACGTTAAGAATGCTTGGTCTCAAACACCTTTATTCACTTGCATACTGGCAAACCTTGCATTTCTCATCCCTAACTTTTCTAATGTTCCGAGTTTTACTCTATGCGACTGGTACTTCGAATCTTCCACCATAGTGAACAATCCAGTTGTTCGTCGATTGGCGGATCACTTTTCCGGGAGTAATAATTCCTTCACACTCAATCCACGACTATTTAGGGGATACTGCCGTGCGGTCACATAGGGTAAAACTTGGAACATTGGAAAAGTTAGGGATGAGAAAAAGCCATTTGATGCTTACCCCGAGATGGAATAGAAGTCTGATGGAATGTACACGACTGGGAAAATGTTTCCAGATATCGCCATTGAAATGTGCAATATTAATAGGGTTCAAGGGGGTTTAGATGTATTTCTGGAGAGAAGGGGTTGAGGTATGTGGTTAGAAGGCATATACATGAGTTTGATCTATCAAAATGACATAGGCTTATTGACCCGTTTCCAGCTCCTAGAAATCAGTTTGTACTGTACATTGAAATTACCTTCTAAAAAGATCAAATGGAATATGGTAATAATTTAAAAATTAATGTTCTGATCTTATGCTCTGATCTGAATTTAAAAATGTATCAATTCCGCCTTGTGTCCTTTGACGAAGCATATACAGGAGTGATGATTCATCTTACAAAACGTTTGTGGTTAGGTTTCGAACATGAACATGGTGTTTATCACACAACTACCATCAATTAGGAATGTTCTGTATTGTAGTATCCTGTGCATTGGATGTTGTAAGGAAGATGAGATGTGTTAAAATTCTAGCAAGCTTGAATCTTTCCTTGAGCTAGTTGACAAGTTAGAAACATTCTGGTGTTTGCAAAGGGTTTAGTGTAACTTGTAAATCTTAATTTAGGACAGCAGAACTCTTTTTTAAACGCTCTTTGGAAATGAGGGAGCGGGTTCTTGGTCACGAGCACTCAGACTGTGCACAATCCTTGAATAATCTGGCAGCCTTGTACAATGAGAAGAAGGAATATGAGAAAGCTGAGGAGCTGTATGAGAGGGCACTTGACATCCGGCGAAAAGCGCTAGCACCTGATCATCCACTGGTGGCCTACACTGTCAAACATCTTGCACTATTGTACAAAAAAAGGGTGAGTTGGCTAAAGCTCTGTTACAATGTAAGATTGGATAACAAAAACTTACAAAGCATGTTTAAATACTTGAATACAATTAACTGTTGATAATATTGGTTTTCCACATTTATTTCAATAGTAACCAACGTCTTCAAGTGAAAATTAGTAGTGTATTATAATGTTAAATTCTTGCAGGTCAGCAAACCTCAAAAAAGCTTTGATATTTTTTAGTGGTGAAAATTGTTACATTTTAACATTATAAAGCCTTTCTTTGTAATATACATCAAAATAATGGAATGCATATCTAAAATGTTTGTGAAATATAAATGAAGAGTATTATATTTTTTGTATGCAAATTATGCTAATCGTCTACCTTCAATTCACATTCAATTCTGCATATGAAATTCAAAAACAGTTTCTTTTATCAAGCCTATAATTCATATGGCTATGTGCCTGTGCAGATTCTGGTTGTTGATCAACCAATCAGTTACATTTTCCCACTATGTTAAGTTTTACAATTGCCATGCCACCATCTTTCTTGCCAAATTGTAAAAATAAAAATTTTTAAAATGCAAATTCAACCTAATAACAGTAAAATGGTAATGCAAACTGTTGCAGATGGCAGTGATTTAATCTCCAGGTGCAGCTGAAAAACCTCTCAAGTATTACTCTTACAGCTGCTGCTTTATGTTATTAACTCTTTACACTTTGCATTACAAACTTAAGGGAGTAATGCTAAATTTATATGAATCCTTGGTTCTACCTCATTTGAATATGTATCCAGGTCTTGCTGCAATAATGCAAGAAGGATATTGTAGCAATGGAGACAGTGTAGTGTAGATTTACTAGGAAATTACCACCAATGAGAGGGTTTAACTATAAAGAAAAATTGGACAGGTTGGAACTTTTTTCTGATGAGGCACTTGAGATGGATCAACAAAAACAACTTGCATTTATATGGTGTCCTTCACGCAGGGTAGCATCTCGGAGCGCTTAATGCTGGGATAGTTTGACCCTGAGAAGGGGAGAAAGGGGGATGACGTAGACACGGTTGAGACTGCATACGGGACCAGTTATTATTCAAAGCATTTGATTTATAAATAGAATTGTAAATGTAATTTAAGAAAACAGGATTTTTCTTTCACAGAACAGAAATATCAATTAGAATGTTTTCCTGTTTTATTGAAGTATTCCTGTTTGGATCAACCCATGTACCTTACATTAATTGCTATATAAATGGAACTGTTCACATCTAACCCAATAGGATCAAGTAGCTGTAGATTTAGAACAAGATTGATTCAATAGAACTTTATAGTGAAAATTTCTCATGCAAAAAATATCCTGCCAAACTTGATTCTCTGAAAACAATATATGATGCAACTCTGCAGTGTATGTAGAGAGAGAAATGGATCCCCTCTGTACATATCTGTATATTAGATGCATATTAAAACAAGTTAGGCATTAGATGAATATGAGCTGTAGGATCTGTGAAGTTCCACCATTCTTTAATTGAAGTGATCATATTTTCAAGATGTACAAATTACCAGAAAAATAAGCTTATGTTAACCCAATAAAAGAATAAATGCAAAAAATATTTACCTGCTGAAAATCTTTCCTGTATCACAATTCTCCGTTTATATGAATTTTCAGGGAAAGTTGGACAAAGCTGTTCCTTTATGCCAACTTGCAGTTGAAATTCGACAAAAATCCTTTGGTCCGAAGCACCCGAGTGTGGCCACTGCCTTGGTAAACCTGGCTGTGCTCTACTGTCAATTGGTATGTGTTAACGCACTCTGATTTTCTCCTCTCCTGAATGGGCTAACTTGTGTTGGGGGTTGATTCATAGCCATTGAATTGGTGTCAGCATTGCATTCAACTGTGGAGCACATCAGTCTAGCCTTGCCCTCAATATATTTGTATGTGTGCATTCCTCATTCATTTATTTCTGCACAAACTCTTCATTTATGATCAAGGCTAAAATTGTTTCCCATCTATTTCTGCTATTTTTCTGAGTTCCTGTTTAGGAGGCTTGCTTTAGCAGTTTAGCTCTTAGTTGGTGTCTATTATGTTTAGTGGATGGTTTTGGGAGGTAGTCAATGAGCAATTGATAAGTGAATCTGTGTAAACAAACAGTGTGGTTGAAAATGTGGTGCTTTATTCATAATGAGGAGTTGCAAATAGTGATCGACTCCTGCAGGTGACCGGCACAATTTGTTTCGGGAGGAGATGGTTGGAGTTGGAGCAATTCCTGATGGTTGCTGAGACACACATCTGGATACTTGCAGGACTCACAAAGAGTGTCTGTTTGCAACTCCTTGTTCTCAAAATAACATTTTCAACTTCTGTGTTATACTTACATTTGTTTGACTATATGCAGGATACAGGAACAAAATAATAGATGTGTGGACTGTTTGCTCATATTTTTGAAATTATGGTTTTAAACTGTTAGTAACATTATAAATGTTTGTCATCTGTAGAAAAAACACAATGAAGCTTTGCCACTATATGAATGTGCTCTCAAAATCTATGAGGACAGTTTGGGTCGTTCTCATCCCAGAGTGGGAGAGACACTAAAGAATTTAGCAGTGCTTAGGTAAGTACCACAATTGCACAGAATTCAATTCTTCATGTAGCTATCAATCAACAACAAGATTTATTTATGTAACGCTCTTCATTCGGGGTAGTGTTTTGCAGTGCTTAATGGTGATGGAGCTTAATGCGAAGTGAGGGGAGGTGACTGTAGGCACGGTCGAAGAGGAAGGTCTTTGGTTGTGATCTGAAGACAGTCAAGGCGTAGGCAAGGCTGAGGGATTGAGGCAGAGAGTTCCAGATTCTTGGGGTGTAGTGGCTAAATGCACGGCTGCCGACAGTGGAGGGAACGAGGGACGTGCAGGAGGCCAGAGCCAGCTGAGGGAGGGGGAGGGTAGAGGAGTGCTATGCATGCAGATGAGAGGTAGGAAGGTGCAAGGGCATGAAGTGATTTGTACATGAATCTGAGGATCTTAAAATCTATCCACTCTGCATAGGAAGCCAATAGAACCTGGTGAGGACTGGGGTGATGGGATGCAGAGTTTAGTATGGGTGAGAATAGGGGTGACAGAATTTTGAATTAATTGGATCTTCTGAATGAGGGAGCTGGAGAAACCGTCGAGGAGGGCATTATAAAAATTGAGGCATTGAAAAATTAATGGCAGAAATGTAGCTGAATTTAGCAAACATCCAAAAATTTCAGGCTATGTTGTTAGGAGGCACTTCACAGGAAGCGTGAAAAAAAGTCTTGAGCGAGGTCTGCTGAGGCGCTATCATCACCCATAGTTATTCTGCGTTGTGTCAATGTGACACTCTTTAACATCGTTTCAAAACAAGTGCACCACCTTCTAATTTGTTGCAGTACCGCAGTGTCTTTGAAATGAGGTGTACACCAAATTCAATGAAACTTCAGCTGACGTTGGGCTTGATAGTGCAGGATTTGACAGGTGGATTTCCTAACCGATACTCCACCAATAATACAAAGTGTCACACCAAATTGCGGGAGGTCAGCTGCAGTGCATCCAGATATAAATTTTGAATTCTTTGATTCTGTATGATGAAATTCCATTTATTGGCAGGAATTACTGTTTACAATTTGGGAGTTGCTATTCGTGAATTCTATATTTTGAATCCCATTTTGTAATTTAATTGGTTTAATTTCAAGTTTGTAATGCTGAGGTCTCCAACTGATTGGTTAACGTTGGTGTATTTTCATACAAGTAAAACTGAGCACGGTTTTGAAGTTGTGTTGTGTATGTTACAGTTACGAGGAGGGCAACTTTGAAAAGGCTGCGGAATTGTACAAGAGAGCAATGGAAATTAAGGAAGCTGAAGCCTCGCTGGTGGGTGGAAAAGCTCCTTCAAGACATTCCTCCAGTGGAGACACCTTCAGTTTACGAAATGCTCTAGTTCCTAATCCCTAGTAATTGGAATTGGGACCTGGTGACTCAGTTACTTAGGTGTTATAAGTGAATGGTATGATACTGTTAACACCATGGATGCAAAACACATCAAGACGAGGAAAGGTACCAAACAGATTGTGCCATTGCCTCGATGTATGCAACATGAAAGCCTAAGTTGTGTTGCTCACCCGGAATCTTGCAGGGAATTCTTAATACCTGCTATGCACCCAGTGAAGGCTAAAACCTATGATTGTCAGATGTCAAAAGACCAACTAGCGACTATCCTCCTTGGGGGGGAAAGGGGCAAGCAGGGTCTTCTTGGAGCTGAACTGAGTCAGAAGTGCTGTCCTTTAGATTAGATGTTAAAATGAGGTCCCGTCTGCCTGTTCAGGTGGATGTTAAAGATGCCATGGCACTATTCGAAAAGAGAAGTGAGTTTCTCCCAAGCTCCTGGCCAACAAATCCCCCAAATAAATTTGGTCAGTTACTTGGCTGTTTGTGGGACCTTACTCTGCCAATTGGTTGCTGTGTTTTGCCCACAAAATACAGTCAATTTACTTTACAGTATATCCTGTGACATACTTTGAGAACTCTCAAGGCTCTATATAAAATGCATGATTATTATTTTTATTAATAATCTTGCAGGCCAAAGCCCCAATGGGTAGGTTGGTCCTAGTTGGACAAGCAGCGGTAAAGCTTGCCAGATTGCTAGGATTGGCAAGCTTTGCAATTTTAGCTAGAATCCAGCAGGATCCCAACGCACACTTTGGGGTCCCCAAGCCTTGGCTTGCGAGTCTTCACCTAATACCTTCTGGAATTAGGTAAGCAGGATGTGTCTTTTCAGGGAGAGAGTGGGCATTTTATTCCAATTAATATCTCTGGAATTTCCATGTATAGGTGGGATGCATGGCATTCCCTTTGGTTTGGATATTCTTAAGCGAGGTTTCCAAATGTATCAGGCTGACCCCCAAAAAATGGAGAAAATTATTTCATTTGGTAACTAGACCAAAGTACCTGAGAAGTCTGAATCAGCACATAAAATGCTCTTCCAAAGGATGATTTTCACTACGGTACCAATATGCTGCTTGTAAATGGAAATGAACTGATACAAACAATACTCATGTGCAATTTTTGAAGTTTATATTGCCTATAACTCATTCCTGATTTGACATATTAATGCTTCATTATATTCTCGTATTAACATATCTGATTGAATTAAGTCAACAAAACCAATACTTTTAAAGGTCTGTATCATTTAAGACAGGCAACACTGCCCAAGAATTATTTATAACGGACTCATTTATGACCGCAAACATTTTTTTACAGATTAATTTAATGTTACATAATGCTGTTAGAACATATTCTAAACATTGTGGGAGATGTTAGTTTCAACAATTGTTTTAAATAGCTTTGAGAATTGAAGGGCTACTGAGCACCCCCACATGCAGTGCTGGAAGTCTTGACTCTAGTACATGGCTGTACGAAAGACTGAGATGAAAATGTCACATATTTTTCTAATGAATACTGCAATACTCTTGGTTGTGACCCAAACACTTTCAATGAGTTGCACACTCTTCCCTTCATTGACAAAGCTGAGAGGTTACAAAGGAACCAAAATGGGAGATTATGCATTCATTGAGAAATAATAAGTGTAACCTGCATTTGTATTGTTTTTAACATTTTATATAAAGCATGGATAGGCCTAGCATGCCTGATGGTTTTGCTATGCTATTGTCAGACATATTTTTGTAGTGATCGTCTCAATAAGGTCCAATTCAATTGATGTGCAAAGCACAACTGAATTTTTTTATGAAATAAAAATATTGAAAATGTGTCCATGTATGTCTGGAATAATTAGGTTTGTGGTGAGTGAGTCTTTGTAGCTATTAAAACGTACATTTTCTTGTACTAAGGTGTGTGCACTATTCACCAGCATCCCCTAGGATTTACAAGTCCTGTTTCTAGCTTACTAAATATCTAGCTTCTGATAATGTGACCTCTCAGGCCTGTGAGTCCTTTAGCGCAACTAACAAAGATTCCAGCTCTACTTTCAATCTCTTATGGAAGAGTCAATATTAAAGCTGAAAGATTTTTCCAGTCACATCAAAATGTTTATTTGCAGAACACAGAAATTAAACTATCAGATAACACCCAGACCCTAATAAACTGAGAATAGGAAAATGTTCCAGGTAACTGGTCTCTACCTGGATTTAAAAAAAAGATTGGGTTTCGGTGTTCCTTTCTCCTTTTATCCCCCACAAAATAGAGTAGACACATTATTCAATTTAGTTCGAGAAATAGACTTAAAAACACCCAAAATTACATGACTATTAGACATTCATCAGAATTCATTATACAACTTATTTGACCATAGTACAGCACTGAGAAATTTGGAAAGTTCATTTTTAAGCAACCCTTGGGCCCATCTGATATTTATTCAACTAGCTTTCAAGCATTTAAACATTAGCAGCTCACAATGTTATTTAAACGAGTCATTGCTTCATATCACACAGAATACTTAAATTACATTTATCATGATTAACACTTACAGAGGTATCAGAGTACTGTATAAGGCTTTTATGTTGCTAGGTCCAACCAGTTGGGTTATATTAGTAAACTTCATTGTGAAGACAAAACCATTACATACTGTTCAATATGGCCTTGAGGTCTTCCAGACTTAAATTTGTATCTTGCACTGTGTCACTGTCAGCAATCTCATCATCCCCCTGGATATAGAACAAGCAAAAGTGAGTATTCACTGTGCTATCCATTAGAGTGCATTTTAAACTACATGTTCACTGTAAATGACAAGAACTTGTTTTCCCCTAACTCATTTACTTGAGCAGGTATTGTCTCCGCTGTGTCTACCACTAGTGGTTGCACTGCAGCTGCAGCTAACCCATCAACCGACCCAGTGTTGTGTTGTTATGAGGGAAGTTTGAAAGAATAATACTTCCACTTGGCAGAGTGCCTTTTACGTTGTGTGGCTATTTCAAAGCACTTCACAAAAGATTCTACATGCTTGGAGCACAGACAGCATTGTTCAGTAGCCTCTGCCTGGTCAGCGTTTACCACTCAAGAATATGCAATAGCCCTGACATCAGCTCACTATCACCAGATGTTTTAGTAAGCAAGATCTCCTTGGGGCTGAGTTGGCTCCAAGGTGACTTGCTGGGTGACAGAAAATCAGGATGAAGTTGACTTTCTGTGGCAGTCTCAGTTCACAGGAGGACTATGTTTTACTGTAGGATAACAAGGCATTGGTGATGACAAACCAACTAGCCCGAATCATCAGCAGGACTTAGAGGGCAACACGGTAACTGTGGACACATTCTTCCTCCTCTACTTTTAATCAAAGCCACAAAAGATAGTAGTGTGTGTGTGTGTGGGGGGAGGGCAGCTAGATAAGCAGTGAAAAGATTGCCACAGTATTCACAATGGCTGTGCTGTTCTAGCTGGTTAATTTCTAGCAATATACCCAACACAAACTCTGGGGACCCAGGCGCTTAATAGTTTCCAGAATTCGGTAAGCAATGTGCATCCTTCCAGAGAGATTGCACATTTCATTCCCAACACATGGAAATTTCCATTATATCCATTCTATCCATTGGATATTCTTAAGCAGAGCAATGGGTTTCTATCAATCTTATTCACAAATAATTAGTAAAACACAAAACTCTTATGTGGTGAACGTACCTTTTCAGGTATAGTATAAGCTAGTGAGATTCCCTCCGGAAGGTCAAGTAGAGGGGCTGAGGCAGTCTTCAGCTCTTGGTCAATAGACTCGGAAACCAACTCAATTCCTGTTCAAATGGTTTTCACATTGCATTAATCAAACTATCCTGCAGTTCAAACTAAAAGCATTTTTGAAAGTTACTGGGCTCCAATTTGCGATATGTGCAAATTGACCAGTTGTGATTTCCGAACCCCCCCAAAGTGATGAGGAGTGAAACACCATCTGGCTTTCTCGGCTCTGGGCTTCTTTCCTGTGGCTGTTGTGAATCAGATCCACCTGTCACCGCCAGAACCAGGCTTTGTTAGTTTCCTTCACTACCTTGTAATAATGCAGTACTTTCTTGGGAGAAAGAGGAAGTCACCGACAGGCAATGGCTAACACTGCTGAAAGCGTGCCTGGCAGGGCAATGCGTTTTATTGCTCTCAGTGTTTTATCACACTTTGATGGCTTTTGGAAATTCCATTTAGCTGTTTCACAAATTAGACCTCACTGTGAAGAGAAACTGGAAAATGTAACTAAGTTTTTGTGAGACGCTAACCGCTCACCCCAAAATTTGATTGATCAACCCAATAATCAACCAATGCACCAAACTGTACAGTTTCTATTTAGTGGACAGGCGCAGAAATGAGAGCAAAAGAGAGACATCCTTGTGCATTGCTCAGGACTTCTCTACAACAGCAAAGTGGAGCCAGGCAACTCAATGGATCAAGACCGACAAGCCCAAACCCCTAGCCCGTCTCTCTGTAATATAGCCCACAGGATCACTGTGCTGCCTTCCTTCCATTATTTTCACACAAGCAAATCAGGGACAGGCAATCTCCTCTTAGACTTCCGTTTACTGCTGTTGAGCATACTAACCAAGGAAGACTAAAATTAATTTCTCCCTCCCACCTTCCCTCTAGATAAATGCCTTTCCTCCATTCACTTAAGTTGATCTTACCCCACTCATTGTCATCATGCACCACCTCTTCTTCCTCCTCCACCTCTTGTTTTGGTCGGGTCACTTCTTTTTTCTGTTAACAAAGATTACATACTCATTCAATGTAGTGAGTGTCCTGGTCATGGGGGAGGGTGGAGTATTATAATAATTATCCTTGCATTTGATAGTATAAGAGTGCAACATTCGTTTAAATGTTTTGTTATGGCACAATAGGGAAAAGTAGTCAGAGAGTTGCCGAAAGGAATCGGCAATAAATCTGGAGATATGTTGGCCAGGACACAAGGAGGAATTTCCTTCTTTCAAGTAGTGTGTGTCACATTTTTGATTTCTACTTGAGGACAGTCAACAGGACCTCGGTGTATCTGAAGACAGCACCTCTTACAATGCAGGGCTCCCCCAGTGCTGCTTTGGATGTCTTTCTTTGTGCATTTGAAGCACAGAAACAGGCCGGTAGGCACATAATCAGACCGGGATGACTGGTGAAAAGTTGAAGGAACACTCACCCTATATTCTTCCTGTTGCTGTCTGCAGGCTTGGTCGCTACACCTGGGATTAGGTTTCATGGCCATTGTGGGAAAGAAATCCTTCATGGCATTGTAGCCCAAGTAATAACTCACAGAACCGAAGCCTAAAAGATACCTTAAAAAACAGAAATACTGAATTACTCTTTAAATGGCAGGACATTAGCAAATCTAGAATATTTTAAGCTATCATATCTAATATTAACCAGGTGACAATCAACTTATTTAAATTACTCTCTGTTAAATGAATTTCATTACACCACAGCAAGTTACACGTGTAAACTGTACGACCGACAGAGGAGAACACGGGTGCAGAATCTCTGTGAAAGGAGTCGGCCTATGTAAGTGAGATCCAAAACAGACTTTTAGTTCTCAGTGTTATATATGGATTTCTCTTGTGTACTGCAATGAATTTTAAAATTTCCAACAAAGCTAAAGGTTGGCATGAACATTGGATCCTTCTCTCCGGGCTTTCTGGATCAAGCTCTCACCACTGAAGGGTTCTGCAGATTGCTTCAGAATATTTCTATCCGGCTTTTAACACTCAAGGCTAAGTGGCTGTTCAAAAGATTCTGCTTGAACTTTCACAGCTAGAACTACTACGGTTCATTCCCTAATGTCTTGCACTGCTTCCACATTGTGGTTCTGGAGTCCCAAAAGCTGTCACGATAGGGGGAATAGTCATCCTTCACATCCCAGTATCAGGTTCAAAGAAAGCCTGCAAGAACTTCCCTGGAGCTCCAATTTAATGTACTGGGGGCAAAATGGGGGGGGTGGAAGAGTGTGTCAATTCTCTTCACAGTGAGCTCCTGAACTCAGCCATGGCAGAGTCCAAGGCTTTTCCTCCACATGGAGCAAAGGAGGAAAACAGACTCAGAGGAAGTCTCAAAAACATGACAGTGACGGTTTCCTTTGTTTACTTACTTTAGGACGTTTTGTACAAGAAGTCCTGCCACAATTCCCATGGTGGTGGGCAGACTGGCTGCACAAACCCCATCTCGCTTCAGTGTCTTTTCATCTATGTTCTCAGCAACCACCAGAGGGGGTGCGCACTGCGAGAGGAATGGACACAATATTACACACAGGTTTCCTCTTTGTGACAATGTTTTGCTCACTGGCTTTTTTATTTCATCCCATTTTCTCAGCCTGGCTCAGTTAATAGCACTCTTGACTCTGAGTCAGAAGATTGTGGATTCCAAGTTAGGACCTGGAACCCATATAATGTACGCTGACACTCCAGTACCTCCAGCAGAGGGGGACTCCATTGATGGAGGTGCCAGCTTTCAGATGGGACGTGTTTCTTACTTAATGGATGCCCATTAGCTGTAGTTTTTAGATGGTATGGTATTTGGCATGCTTACTTAACAGTCAAAATTGCATATCAGTTTGTCAGTTTAATTCCAAAGCCTTGTCAACCTTTGATGAAAGTGGTGGATGGTAAAGATCCCATGGTACCACTCCAAAAGAGAAGGGAGTTTCTCCTAGTGTCCTAGCTAACAATTCCACAGAAAAAATGGTCATTCACTTCATGGCTGTTTGTGGGATTCCCTGTGTGAAAATTAGCCACAAAGTACACAATCACTACACCTTACAGTAAAGCAGTGAAGGGTGTTGAGATGTTCTCCCAACTTGAAAGCCTCTAGATGAATTGTAAAGATTTTTATTATTATTATTATGCCAACTTCTATAAATCAGTCAGTCATTTGAGGCATATCACAAACTAGACAGCTTTCCATAATTGCAAACGGAAACGCAGATTGAACAATGTGAATCCAATTTGTGAATATCGCAAATGAGCCCCCGGATAACTGTCATCTAAGGTTGACAAGGCTTTGGAATTAAACTGACAAACTGATATGCAATCTTGACTGTTAAGTAAGCATGCCAAATACCATACCATCTAAAAACTACTGCTAATGGGCTTCCATTAAGTAAGAAAGTGATACGTGCAGTTATCGCATCCATTCAAGGTGTTCAGGAAAATATTGTGCAGGCGTGTTAAAACCTCTCAAACATCAACTGAACACAAAGATTTCACTTGTTCCAGTTTTAGTGGAAAGGATTTGCTTCTGCAACAGTATCTTAAGATTCCTTCTTCTGCACTTTGTTCAATGGAACCTAAAAGCACAGACCATGTAGAGCACTCTACTATAGACTGCTGCAGGACAGAAACAGACCGTTCGACCATTCAAATCTGCTCCGGTGTTGTTCTCCACATGAACCACCTAATCTAATCCCACTTTCCTACTTGCTTCCCATACCCTTTAACATTCCTCCTTTTCAAGCATCTATCTGTACCTGTAAGTAAATAATAATAATCCTTGCATTTGAAATAGTGTCTAAACAACAGCAACAAAGTACATTTGCATAGAGCCTTTCACATCGGGGGGACGTCGTTGAGAAGTCTCAAAGCAAAGTGGATTGACTGCATTTTGTGAGCAAAACAAGATCACAATGATTAAGCTGTAAGATGCAGAAAACAAAGCATCACAAAATGATCTCTCAGTGGTACCAAAGGCTGAGTACAATTTTTATACCAGTGAAGTTTTAAAACAAAAATTAATTGTTGAAGAAAAATATTTATTTGTAACTATGGTAACGGAGTAACTGGAAACTCGAGACATACCGCAAAACAGGCATTTTCTCCTGGGATGAGGAGCTGGATGTGTCCCGAGACGGCATTTTCACTAACCCCAGACTCCATCCACACCTGACCAAGCTCATTACAGGCCTATAAAAATGGGGAGGAAAAAGAAACTTTAGCGATGTAACAGAAGCAGAGAAAATAAAACCCATAGAAATACAGCAAAACTAAACCCAACACTTTTACATCAAAGGATTACGTTTATTTAACCACCATACCATGCCCACTAATTGTAGCCCCTAGATGGACGAATACAAACTCACCGTGTTTATTGCCATCCGAGCTGTAAAGTTGTCCACACAGCTGAGTACCAGGTCCACAGGCTTCCCTTCCTCTATTCCACCATTGCTAATTAAAAAGAAATCCCAGCGCAATGTTAATCCTGTGTAAATGCACAGAGTTAGAGTACTATTCATTTTCATTCATTTAAACTATCTGTTTAACTTCTTCTTTCGGTAACTGGTAGATACTGAAATAAGAATATAAAAGAGACACCATTCAAGTGAATGAAAAGATGGGAGACAGGGACATCCTCTGTGAAGAAAACAGGAGATGTGATTAGAAGACTAAAATGAGCAAGACCAAAGCTGATTAAGGACACATGAACCTATGGACTTGTTGCCTGGCTATTGGGAAGAGGTACTTGGCAAAGTAGACATTCACCTCCAAGTGGAGGAAATTCATAAGGCAGATCAGCTCTGCCCTTTCTCAGCAATAGCCAGAGCCCTGGAACAGACTGCCATCTCTTTGTTAGGGAACAGACTGGGTATTGGTTAGAGAATGGAGATGGAGATCTACAGAATAAACTTGGGAGAACAGAATTGTATTCAAGAGGGAGGTAGTACTGAATGTGTGACTAGATTTCCTATTCAGTTTCATGTTGTACTCATAAGAGGTTCACGTGAACCAGGTCCCATGATGATCCAACTGATCTAATTTTCTACAACGTTAACCCTACCACCTTCACATACAGCCAATGATCACTTTCTGTGTAAATAAATATTTGCTGGTCTGTGTCCTAACCTTGCCCTTCACAATCCTGAACTTGCGCCCTCTTATACAACAACAACTTGCATTTATAAAGCACCCTTCACTGGGGTAGCATCCCGGAGCACTTACGCTCTCTTTAAGAACTCTGAGACACTGCCCTGAGTGATGGGATGCTATATAAATGCAAGTTGTCATTGTTGTCCTGCTACTTGGGCATATCTGAAACTATTTTTTTGGATTAGTAAACATCTGGACCAATAAGATCTGCATTAGAGGCTATTTATCAATTAATAATCCCTTATTAGGGAAAAGAAAAATAAGAAGAAAAATAATGATAATGTTGTCACTCAATCTATGACTGTTTGTGGGGCACTGCTGTGTGCAATTAGCTGCCGCATTTTGCCCACAAAATACAGTCACAACACTTTACAATATATTCTGTGAAGCGCTTTGGGATGTCTCAAAGACGTGATATAAAATGCAAGGATTATTATTTACATTTCTATTTTAAGTATGATGTGTGTGTCAGCCTGGCTCAGTGGTAGCACTCTTTCCTTGGAGTCAGAAGGTGTGGGTTCAAGCTCCATGTCGGGACTTGGAATTACAGTCTAAGATGACACTCCAATGCAGTGCACTCCAACGTGTTGCATTGTCGGAGATGCCGTCCTTCAGATGAGATGTTAAACCGAGGTCCTGTCTGCTTGTTCAGGTGGATGTTGAAGAATCCATGGCACTTTTTGAAAAAGAAGGGAGTTTCTCTCAGTGTTTTGGTCATTAATCACCCAAATAAAATTGGTCACTCATTCAAGACTGTTGTGGATCATTGCTGTGTGCAAAATTGGCTGCTGATTTACTCACAGTCACAGGCACTCCACTTTATATCCCATGAAGCGCTTTTGAGACAACATGATAAGGCGCTATACCAAATGCAAGGATTACATATTGTATAATAACAACAAATAAATAATGATCTTTGCATTTGGTCTAACACCTTTTACATCAAGAGGGCGTACCAAAGTGCTTCACAGATTCTACTGAGAAGCGAAGTGACTTTGTAGGCGATGGCAGCAACCCAATGTGCACAGCAAAGTCCAACAAACATCAAGGAATGAATGACAATTTTATTTGGAGGATTGTTGACCAGCAGAAACTCCCTTCTCTTTTCAAGTACTGCCATGGGATCTTTTATGTCCACCTGAACAGGCAGTTGGGTTCTCGGTTTAACATCTCATCCAAAAGCTTGCTTTTAATGATAGATTCTGTAAAAATTTCCACTTGTGGAAGTCAGGGATAATCGGTTAAGTATGGGTCTGTTAGCTACCTTGAATTTTCAAATCATATTTGCTTGTTCCTGACTATCAAAACCTCCTGTGTTCATTGACTTAATCAAATGAGTAGCAGTGCTTCACAAATTACCTCTCTTTGGAATTTAGTGTGTTGGATTGACTTATTTTCGGTCCAAAGACTTGCCGTTATAAAATTGGAAGAATGTTTGATTTTACGTATTATATCCATTACTACGTCTCTTCCCAATTCTCTAATGCAGATATTCTGATCTATGTTCTAAAGGTAGAACCGATTTTTCAGCATCAGCAATGCACATACGGTTAAAGAGGACATGGGTATCATGGGACCTCAAATATCTTTCACAAATAAAACAAAGGCTAATCTGTAAAACAATAGTGTGACTGAGACCATTTAAGATGCCATTTACTATTGTTCTCCTCCAGCAGATGTTGAACGAGGGAGTTAAACCGTTCATCTTAAATGAATAATTGACAGATTAGCATTTTGACAGTATAATACACAAAGCCTACACAAAATATTGCCCCTATACATTTTGTAGAAGCAACAAAAATTGTTGGAAGAAACAATACGATGGCCAGGAGCAGATCTAAAAGGGAGTTTAGGAGAAACTTCTTAAGCAGAGGGTGGTGGAATGTGGAACTCACGGTTGGAAGCTGTAGTTGAAGCAAAAAGCATCAATGTTTTTAAGAAGTGGAGGCTCGAGTGGTATATAAATAATAATAATAATAATCCTTGCATTTGATATAGCGCTTTTCACGTCGGGAGGACATCCCAAAGCGCTTCACAGAACACACTGCAAAGTGAATTGACTGTATATTTGTGGGCGAACGCGGCAGCTAATTGCGCACAGCAATGTCCCACAAACAGTCGTAGATTGAAAATGACCAATTTATTATTGTTTGGCATGGATAAACTGGCATGGATTGCTTGGACTGCATTGCCTTGTACAATGCCACATTGTCATTCTATGTAATTAAAGCGGCTCTTAATGATTAATGATTATATCACAAGAAACCTTCCACATGTCACAATCTAACCTGATTCGATCCATAAAATGCTGAAAGTTGGACATCGGTGTGATGTCATTGTTGTGTGTTTCAAACTGGACGTCAGGATTAATATTCCTGTAAATTGAAAAAAAATATAATTTATATTCCATTGTGACATATAATGGACACATCATCTGGAAACTTTGGAAGTCATGCAAAAGCACCTGAGGCTTCGTAGTCGTATTTCAAGTCTCCAAAGCAGCAATGTAAAAGTGGTATAACTATACACCCAGGATTCTCACAAACACTTTTTGTATTGCAATCATCCATTGATTGCAATGGGTTTGAGTAAACTTACTGTCCAGTAAGCTCATGTACTAACTCAAGACAAATGGAGAACTGATTGTATCTCACTCCCTCCATTTGGGAGGCACTGGCTTACTGCAGGTTTCCCTCCCTACCCACCTCATCATCACCGGTCGGCTTCCAACCTATCCGCCCCTACATTCTGAACCTCCATCAAGGAATCCCTTTTCCTCACCTCCTTCAAGGTCTGTCTCCAGACTTTCCTCTTTGACCATGCTTTTGGTCATTTTCTCACCCCTTTAGCCCCCACTTCTCCTGAATCCAATGGAATGAATGCAAGCTTTCAATAGAACACAAAAGCATACTGACTCTACAATGCTTTGGCCACTTGTCAATAATAACAATGCTGCAAAATGACCCGATACCCTCTACATGTAAAAAAAGCTCAACTACAAAAGTTAATTTTAAGTTTTCCACAGCTCTAACTTCAAAATTAAGACTATAAATATAATAATCTTCCAAAATTCTGCATAATTTCAAGTTGAGCGGAATTTCAGGCCTTGAGTGGTCAATGCTTCATACACCCCATTTGTACACTTTACCATCAAATATGAGTAAAGCGATATCCTTAGCGGTCTCAGGCCTGTCTGCATGTTAGTTCATGAAAGAGCGTATTACTCATCTCACAGGACAACAATGTTCATTACCTCAATGTATGCTCTGCTGCCTCCACTTTACTTAGTCCAGATTGGTGGGGCTGAAAGAACAGTCGATTCATGTTTGCCAGCTCTACTTTGTCATAATCAAACAGTATTAGCTGAAAATCAAAAGGGAAGACAAAAGTCATCTGATTTGGCTGCTCAAGTGCAATGTTTAACTAACTATTGAAGTTTAATAATGTTTTATTTCACTAACAAAATAATTCTGTGTTTAATTCTGAAAGAAAATACAACATTCCTTTAAGTTCACTTTAGTTTATCAATATATTCCCATCATTAATCAATCCAATGAGCAGCATATATTATGCAACTATTTGGTTTCTCAGTTGCTAGCAAAGAACAGTTTAAGGCATTGAAACTTCACACTTGGCCAACTGGAAGGAATAATCTCCAATGGCCAACACTTTATTTTGTTGTTTGTCTGATACATGTATGATGAAGTAAAAGTAAAATGAAGCCCCAAGTGGCACATATTCAGTAGATCTTCATAAAGTATTTGGTTTATACCATATGGTAAACCTACTTTCAAAATGGTTTTAATAGAGCTCCTCTTGATAATCTAGTTACGTGCAGGTTTGATTCCTGGTCCGTGCCGCAATAGCTGATCTCAGTCAGGCTAACACCAGGTGCAAATCAAATCCTCAGTGAGCTCCCTGCTGCAAAGTGCTGTTTGCAGATGCTGGGAGAGCGCAAGATCGGGCATGGCTGTGATTTCTGTACTGGCAACACTGACTATTGAGACGGTCGCATGAGGAATAGCCACTTGGACTGTCTGTCAGACATTAAGACCTGGATGAGAGTCAACTTTCTACAGCTGAATGTCAGCTAGACCAAGGCCCTCCTGATTGACTCGCCGCAGCGCCTCTGCACCTTAAGCACTGGCAGCATCAGCATCCACGGCTGCACACTCCATCTCACCAAGCCAGTCAGGAACCTGGGAGGCTTGTTCGATCCTCAATTGTCCTTTCTCCCCAACATCCGCCCCGTGACCCGCTCTGCCTTCCCCCATCTCCACAACATCACCCGACTCCGCCATTGCCTCACCCCTCAGGCCGCCGAAACCCTCATACACGCATTCGTCACCGCAAGGCTCGACGATGGAAACTTCCTCCTTGTTGGCCTTCCCAAATCTTCCTGCCACATGACCCTCTATCAACTTGTCAGCTCCCTCCGTTCATCAGGCTCTGGCTTGCTCCATGTCTCCCACCCGACCCGCTCTACCATCGGCAGCCAGGCTTTCAACCTCTGTCCTCACCCTTTGGAACTCCATCCCACAATCCTGTCGCCTTGCTCCCTCTCTTGCCTCCTTCAAGGCACGACTCAAGAGCCTCCTTTTTGACTGTGCCTTCAGCCGCCCTCCTATCTCTCTAACCTCCCTTATCCCACGCTCGGGTCCTGATCCCCGACTGTTCAGCGCCTTGGGACGTCCTCCCGATGTGAAAGGTGCTTTATACATGTAATTTTGTTGTTGTTGGGCAAAATAAGAGGGCATCGTGGAACAGTACCCCGACCACATCTATTGCTCTGTAAATGGGCACAGTGGGCATTACCATTGCACCATCACTGCCTATCAAGGTTGTGCTGATAATGGTTCAATTCAGAATTAATTATCTGGAGCAACTGAGATATTATAATCCTCCCATTATTTGTGGGCAGTGGGATTCCTAACCAGTCCTAATCCAGACACAGTAATTTCTTTCCAAACTAGGTGTTCACTTCCTTTTTTTTGTTACAAGAGCTGTGGTTAGGTTTAGTTCATTGTACAGTACATGGCAACTGCACAACCAATGTTTATTTCATCGATTTAAAGAACACCCACAAAATGTGTAGAATACTGTTTATAACCCCCTCCCATTAAGTTGACTATAAAGAAGTAAAGCAAACTGATAATTTGTATTACCTTACCAATGCCACATCTTGTCAGCATTTCAGCCGTCACACTTCCAACTCCACCAACACCGACCACTAAAACTGTGAACTGACGGATTTTCTGTTTTTAAAGTGGAAAATGATCTTCAGTCATATTAAGAGCAATGAAACTTCTGAAAGTGATACATTTGAACACACTGCTGTTCACAGATCCAGCTCACCTCATAATCTTCTACAATTCCCATTCGTTTCAGAGCCATCAGGCGACTAAAAAAAGAGAAATTTATTAAAACAAATTAAAAACAACTGTAGAATACAAGCTATGTTTTGTCAAATTAAGAAGTTAAAAAGGCATGAAGAGTCCTGTGGAGTGGAGGGAGTGGCCGGGCAGGATTCCAGTAGGAGGTCACAGAGGTAGGATGGGGCAAGGCTGTGCAGGGATTTGAATACATCACCTATGTGGTACAACACTTTGGGAAGAGGATTTTTGGTGAACCATCGCACAACAAAATATAGTGCAGTACACTGATAAAGCTTCTCTCTATTGGTTTACATAGTTAAATCCTAAACCTGTACAGTCTGTCTTGCAGGGTAAGTAAGGATAGCTGGAATTTCAGGGATCAGGGGTGCTAATAATATGTGACACACTAATCGCAACCCAGTTTGAAATCAGCTAACTCATCACGTGCTGGGTATTCAATCTTGGACCTTCCTTGTCTGCCTATCTCAAGCTACTCACAGGACACGCTCACTGATATAACAGGAATGTTGTGCTTTACATTTTTGAGGATAGTAAACCATACTTTTTTAAAAAATGTTTCGCCCCTAAAATTGAGTCAATTCATTTTACATCCTTCTGTGAAATGTCTTTGAGACGTATCGAAGATATGATAAGGTGCTACACCAAATACAAGGATTATTATTATTATATTATTATTATTGTATGGTAAACAGTCACACACGATACCAACATTGCTTAGCCTATAATATGATGATGTTCAAGTCCCGTCTAAAGACCTTCCTCTTCAACCATGCCTTTGGTCACCCTCCTACTCCCAACACCATGCCCTCCTGATCCCAACTCCCACCTTGGGTCCAAAAACCCCTGACTGTCCAGCACCCTGGGACGTCTTTCCAATGTGAAGGGTGCTATACAAGTGCAATTTATTGTTGTTGTTCATGATGTCAGATTAACATCCTTACTGCAGTTAGCAGTTGACAAACTCATTTCCCAGCCTGCACATGAACACTAAGGTATTTGCGATCAACAACTTGAAAGTAAAGCAGGAAGTGCTGGGCTGAGGCAGAATGTCCATATGGTTCCTGACACCACATCACTGCGTCGGTGCAAAGACATTTTAGGGTATTTTTCATACAAATAAAGAGGTTATTTATTATTAAACAGTATTTGTCAGTCAGTATTACTACCTGTTACACAGAGACCCGGTAGGTGACACAGGAGACCCGGTGGGTGACACAGGAGACCCTGTGGGTGACACAGGAGACCCTGTGGGTGACACAGGAGACCCGGTGGGTGACACGGAGACCCGGTGGGTGACACAGGAGACCCGGTGGGTGACACAGGAGACCCTGTGGGTGACACAGGAGACCCTGTGGGTGACACACGGAGACTCGGTGGGTGACACACGGAGACTCGGTGGGTGACACACGGAGACTCGGTGGGTGACACACGGAGACTCGGTGGGTGACACACGGAGACTCGGTGGGTGACACACGGAGACTCGGTGGGTGACACACGGAGACTCGGTGGGTGACACACGGAGACCCGGTGGGTGACACCCGGAGACCCGGTGGGTGACACCCGGAGACCCGGTGGGTGACACCCGGAGACCCGGTGGGTGACACCCGGAGACCCGGTGGGTGACACCCGGAGACCCGGTGGGTGACACCCGGAGACCCGGTGGGTGACACCCGGAGACCCGGTGGGTGACACCCGGAGACCCGGTGGGTGACACCCGGAGACCCGGTGGGTGACACCCGGAGACCCGGTGGGTGACACCCGGAGACCCGGTGGGTGACACCCGGAGACCCGGTGGGTGACACCCGGAGACCCGGTGGGTGACACCCGGAGACCCGGTGGGTGACACCCGGAGACCCGGTGGGTGACACCCGGAGACCCGGTGGGTGACACCCGGAGACCCGGTGGGTGACACCCGGAGACCCGGTGGGTGACACAGAAACATCACCTGTAAGGATTGGAATCCACCACCTCGGAGCTCATCTTGTGTATGAGGTGCCGCTGGGGCGGGATGGCGGGGGCCGGGGGGGGGGGGTGGGGGCCGCTGCCCCTCTGGCCCTTTCTTTTGCGAGTTCATCCTCCAAACACTGGATTCTCGCCAGCAGGTCTTGCCGGGTTGCCATGGCTGCCGGGGGTCGGGTTGCCATGGCTGCCGGGGGTCGGGTTGCCATGGCTGCCGGGGGCCGGGGGGGCCGGGGGGGGGGGGGGGGGGGGGGAAGCGGCCGCTGTGCCCTCACGTCTCAAATCCACGTCTGCAACAGCCCCGCGTGTCACACCATCAGCCGTCCCCCCGTCCGTCCGTCCCCTCTAACCCAACCCCGACAAACAGCAACCCGGCACCGGGGTTCCGCCCCTCTCTCTCTCTCTCCCTTCCCCTTCCCCCTCCCACAGCACTGAGTGCAGTAAAACAGGAGTATAATCCAGATCTCCCTCTCTCTCTCTCCTCCCTCTCTATGGCGCCTTTCACACTGGGAGGTCGCTGGATGGTCAAGTGTCAGCTCCCGAACTGGGGGTTGGGAGCCCAGGGGTGGGGTGGGGAGGGTGTGAGGGGTGAGGGGGAAGATGGCAGAAAGCGCGATCAAAGAGGAAGGTTTTCAGATGGACCTTGAAGGAGGGGAGGTGGGGGGTGGGGGGGGTGTTGGAGGGAGAGAGGGAGGGAGGGAGGGAGCGGGTTGAAGGGTGGCCCTGGATGGACCTCCATTACGGGGGCAGATACCCTGAAAGCCTGACCACCGCTGATGCGGCGGGTGGGGTTGGGGGGGGGGGCGGCGGACGGGACATGAAGCAGAGGTGGCTCCCGACGAGTGGAGGGAGCGGGCGGGCGGGCGGGCGAGTTGGGAGGGTGAAAAGTTATGTAATGAAAGACGATGGAATAGAATGATACAGAACACAAGGCGATTTTAAGAGAGCCTGAAGGTTAAAGCTGGTCCAGCAATTACGCTTCCAATTCATAAGAGTCTATAAAACGATACGGATACCGTACTCACAGTCGCTAAACTTTTGTTGTGTAAAATTACAAATTCGAAATAAATATTATAGCATTTATAATAATGGCATTCTCTCCATCTGCGACCAGGACTCTCTCTGCCCCTCCTTTGACACTATCAACCACTCTATTCTCTTCCCCCTCTTTTTCTGCATTGTTTTTTTTCAGTGCCGGTAAATGCCAGTAATTATTATGGCATCGTAATTATTGCATGCTCCCTTTACAGTATGATTTGTTTATTCAAATTGGCTGCTGCGTTTCGCCCTCAAAATACACAGTCAATTCATTTTACAGTATATTCTGCGAAGCGCTTTGAGACGTATGAATCACGTGATAAGGCGCTATATCAAATACAAGGATTATTATTATCCAACCTAATGTTACTTTTGCAACTATTTACATACGGTTATAGAGTAACAACAACTGCTTGCATTTCTATAGCGCCCTACACTCGGGGAAACATCTCGGGAGCGCTTGAATATGGCACGGAAACAGACCATTTGGCTTGACCAGTCTGTTGGTGTTTATACTCCACACCAACACCCCCATCCCTTATACCCCCTCTCCTACACCGTTTGTTGTGGAGCTGCTTTAAGCCATTTAAGTCAGACCTGGAGCACTCTGCCTCCAGGATTGTTCAGTGTCTGACTCAGCAGAGTCCAGACTGGGAGGTGTGTGTCAGGTCATGGCTGACACTGTCCCAGTGCGGGGTAATCAGGCCTTTAACCAGCAGGCTCTGGAGGCAGTGTTAGCCGCCAGGATCCCAGGCTTCACCCACGAGCCGCAGCCATGTCTGACGGTCAGTCAGTACAGGTAACAGCCCGCACGGCCACAGCTCCTGTCAGTAACATGGGGCGGCGATAGGCCCACCCAGAGCAGGTCTGCAACCAGCTCCCAGCCCAACACAGGCCAGTGACGGGGAGAGAGAGGGAGACACAGACACACTGACTGCAGGTCGAGGCTGCAGTAATCTGTGAGGTGTCGGGTTTGTTCGGAATTAATCTGCAGCAGCAGCGAGTCGGCTGTTTGCGAGTCAGAGAGCAGGCAACACCCCCCCCACCCCGGCAGCCACCCCTCCCCTCTCCCCGGCAGCCACCCCCCTCCCCCACCCCCCCCCAGCAGCCATCCCCCCCCCACCCCCCCCGGCAGCCACCCCCCTCCCTCCCCCCAGCAGCCACCCCCCTCCCTCCCCCCAGCAGCCACCCCTCCCCTCTCCCCGGCAGCCACCTACCCCCCCGGCAGCCACCCCTCCCTCCCCCAGGCAGCCACCCCTCCCTCTCCCCGGCAACCACTCCCCCCCCCCCGGCAGCCACCCCTCCCCTCTCCCCGGCAGCCACCCGCCCCCCCCCCCGGCAGCCCCCCCCCTCCCCCATCCTAACAGCCATCCCCCCCCCACCACAGCAGCCACCCCCCCCCCCCTCCCTGGCAACCACCCCCCTCCCTCCCCCCAGCAGCCACCCCCTCCCCCTCTCCCTGGCAGCCACCCCCCCCCCCAGCAGCAGCCACCCTCCCTCCCCCAGCAGCCACCCCCCCTTCCGCCCCCCCCCAGCAGCCACCCACCTCCCTCCCCCCTAGCAACCCCCTCCGCCCCCCCCCCGGCAGCCGCCCCCCTCCCCCCCCCTAGCAGCCGCCCCCCTCCCCTCCCTCCCTGCAACCCCCGCCCCCCAGCAGCCACCCCCTTCCCCCCCCCGCCCCAGCAGCCACCCCCCCCCCCCCCGGCAGCCACCCCCCTCCCTCCCTCCTGGCAGCCACCCCCTCCCTCCCCCCGGCAGCCACCACTCTCCCCCCCCCACCCGGCAGCCACCCACTCCCCCCCCCCGGCAGCCACCCCACTCCCCCCCCCGGCAGCCACCCCCCTCCCCCCCCTCCCTTGGCAGCCACCCCACTCCCTCCCCCCGGCAGCCACCCCCCTCCCCCCCCCTTGGCAACCACCCCCACCCCCTCCACCCCCCTGGCAGCCACCCCCTCCCTCCCCCCTGGAAGCCACCCCCTCCCCCCTCCCTTGGCAGCCACCCCCGCCCCCTCCACCCCTCCCTGGCAGCCACCCCCCTCCCTCCCCTGGCAGCCATCCCCCTCCCCCCCCCTGGCAGCCATCCCCCTTCCCCCCTCCCTGGCAGCCATCCCCCTCCTCCCTCCCTGGCAGCCATCCCCCTCCCCCCCTCCCTGGCAGCCATCCCCCTCCCCCCCTCCCTGGCAGCCATCCCCCTCCTCCCTCCCTGGCAGCCATCCCCCTCCTCCCTCCCTGGCAGCCCCCCCTCCCTCCCCCCTGGCAGCCATCCCCCTCCCCCCTCCCTGGCAGCCATCCCCATCCCCCCTCCCTGGCAACCCCCCCCACCCCCCCCCCGGCAGCTGGTCACTTGTGGGACTCGCTGGCACATCCCACGCTGTCCCAATGCGCTACTTGCACCGTAACCAGAGCACCAGGCAATGCAAGCGCTGTATCTTCTCTGGTGCGTGACTCCCAGTTTTATTACATACAGCAGTGACGCCTTCTCTCCTGGCAAGTGCCCCGGTTACTCCTGCGACACAGAAATACAACTGATCCCAAACAAAATCGAAGGCATCATTTTTCAGCCTGGCTCAGCTGATAGGATTCTTGCCTCTGAGTCAGAAATTTAGGGGTTTAAGCCCTGCATCAGGACTTTGAGCTCATTGTATAAGCTAAGCTGGAACTCTAATGCAGTGCTGGGGGAGCAATGAGTTGTTGGTGGTGCCATCCTTTAGATGAGATGTTAAACCGTGGCCCCATCTGCCTGTTCGGGTGAACGTTAAAGATCCCACGCACTTTGAAAACGTCAAGGAAGTTTCTCCTGGTGTCCTGGCCAACAACCGCCCCCCAGATAAAATTGGTCACTTGCTCCATGACTGCTTGTGGGACACTGCTGTGCGCATGTGGCTGCTGCTTCACCCATAAAAAACACAGGCAATCCACTTTACAGTATATTCTATGAAGCACATGATAAGGCGCTATATCGAATGCAAGAATTATTATTATATAAAATGCCCTGAGGACAAACTTTCATTTTGGGAATCTGATATTTCCGTTGTAAGAAAGCATGCAGTAATTAACCTCTTTAATTCCCTCTGGTATTCACTAAAAGTGGTGAATATTTGAACTTTTGATAATTTACAGTACTTTTAAAATGACAGAGTAATTAGTAGGCACCGTGCTAATGTTTTCATCTCTATGCTTCTGTGGTGAAGGGTTGTCAAATTGTTTACTATTGTGTTTTACCGTAGGTTTGGCCAATCAAACCCAACCTACCACCTACAGAAGGGGAACAGAGAGTACGTGTTGAGGAAGACTCCCCCTGGACCACTCTTATTAGGAGCTCATATGGTAATCTGATAACCCAGTGGAAGGGAATTGCGCTGTTGGATGACTGTAGCATCCTCATTGAATAGACAATATTATATAATGTGATGTGCAGTGGACAGGATAATTGATAATGAAACTACTATGTTCACATATCGCCTGACATAACGCCTGATCACATTCTGTAGCGCAGAAAGAGGCCATTTGGCCCAAAGTGCCTGTGATCTCCATGAACTCCTCCCCAGCTCCACCTTCCACAAAGTCCAATCGATTCAGAGTTATGGCTTCTGTTTTCACCACCATTTAATGGCGCATTCCACGTCCTGTGTAAAAGAAAATTTCCTAACCTCTCCTTTAGTTGCGATCTCATCTTTAGTCACAAGCTTCTACAGAAAGGATTTTACTTGTATTTTTAAAATACAATAAACCCCTGCCTTGTTGAAAAATGCCAGTAAATGCTGGTACCGGCATTGTAATTACACTTAGCTGGAATTCTAATTCACTGGACTGGATTTCCCCCTGAGTTTATTTGTAAACCACATGGGATAACATGGATGAGGGACTTTAGTTATGTGGAGAGACTAGAGAAGCTGGAATTATTTTCCTTAGAGCAAAGAAGGTTAAGGAGACTTTAATAGAGGCATTCAAAATTATGAGGGGTTTTGATAGAGTAGATGGGGAGAATCTGTTTCCACTGGCAGATTGGTTGGTAACCAGGGGACATAGATTTAAGATAATTGTCAAAAGAACCAGAGGGGAGACAAGGAGAATTTTTTGTTACGCAGAGAGTTGTTACAGTCTGGAATGCACTGCCTGAAACGGTGGTGGAAACAGATTCAATAACAACTTTCCAAAAGGGAATTAGATAGGTACTTGAAAAGGAAAAATTTGCAAGGGTATGGGGAAAGAGCAGGGGAGTGGGACTAATTGGGTAGCTTTTCCAAAGAGCCACCCAGGCACGATGGGCCGAATTACCTCCTTCTGTGCTGTAATATTCTATGATTCTAAGACACAAGACTAGATGAGGTTAAAAAAAGAAAAGCACGAGAGAGAGCGAGAGAGGACACAACAGGATGCACCCCACCTCACTTGCTCTGCCATGAAGTGTTAGAACATGGAAGTTAACTGAGTAGTGGCTCTACTACCAAAGTTAGCAGACCTTTAAATAACAATGATCATAAATGTTTACGTGAAGTTCAATAGACTATAGATTAGCAGACATTATTTGATTCATGTAAACAGGGAGTGCAAAATAGCTCTTGCAACTTATGTTTCAATGTTCCCAGTCAGTGCAGGTAAATGGTTCCAGAATTTCAGATCAAATATGGGATATTTGAAATTTGATAATATGTGAAAAATATTGGTGTTTCACAGCTGATTTAATAAACATATTCAATCATTATTAAATTTTCCACTGTTAAATGCTTCAAGCTGCTACTCTTGTGTGAAGGGCACTATATAAATGCAAAATGTTGTTTTTTGTATTTTTGAATCTATGAAGCATTGCATTTTTCATCCCTATGTCAAGAGGCAGTCTGCTAATAAGTGGCACTCATTGTACAACAACAACAGCTTGCATTTATATAGCGCCCTTCACGCCGGACAGCATCTTGGCGGGCTTTCTGTGCTTCAGGTGTAGGATGTTGAAGCAGGAACTCAACATGTTTTGTGTTTAGGTGGACAGAGAACATAGGGTTCAAAAGGCATTATTTGTGGCGGGATTTCCTGTCCCGAAGCCCTTGCTCTTCGTTGATGATGATTCTATTATCGGCACCAACTTCTATGTGATGGAGCATGTGCAGGTGTGGAGTGTGTGTTTTGTTACCTTTTTGATGTTGTAAAGTTTATTTTATATAACAGTTTCCTGCGTATGTTTGCAAATCGTGTAAGCAGAGTAAATCAACCAAATACAATCCTATGTAGATCAGAAAGTTTTTTCCTTAAATTTGAAGGCAAGACTCCATTTTTATGGTACTTTTTTCTCTCCTCCTTTATTTTCTGAACCTGGCCAGTGGTGTTAACAGGCTATTTAACCATGGAGAGCATCACAACTGAGTATGATGCCCACACTCTTGCATCTTCCAGCAGGAGTTACTGGAGAGCGATTAGTGGGAACCTTGGCTGTTTTTTCCCTAACCTGAGGTCAGAGGCTAATTGGCTATTTGTGGAGTCCCGTAGCGTAGTGGTGGCAAGCGACAGGATCCAGGTTGGTTCTTGGGCGGGGAGAAACCTTGGGCAAGTTTTCTAACTTCACACGCCTCTGTTTACCTAGCAGTGAGTAGGAACCCAGTCGTTAGTTAGTTGGCAGATCGCTTTCCGGTGGTAATAATCCCTCAAAAACAAATTGTCATTCAATCCAGGACTGTGGGACACTGCTGTGCACAATTGGCTGCCGCTTTTTGCCCACGTCAATCCACTTTACAATATATTCTGTTAAGCGCTTTCAGATGTCTCAACAATGTGATGAGGCGCTATATCAAATGCAAGGATTATTGTTATTATTATTATTAATTGTAATGCCCCCAAAACTGCCACAGCTGAGGAAAGTAAACTCAGCACAGTTGGAGATGAAATCTGAAGCCTTCCCCTCCTGCCAGGATTGGCCTTGGTTCCTTTGCCCTCCAAGGTAGAAAAGTGTGTTATGCACCTTTTGGGATCACATGTGAAGACTGGCCACTCAAGTGATGTACAAGCGAGCGGGCAGCACCAGTCTGAGCTGGTGCCTTCAGGAGAAGAGGAGGGCATAAAATAAAAATTAATAACAGCACACGTCATTCGGCTATATCATGTATAGCGGATCTTGGTACTGACCATTGAGCGTCTCTCTATAAACAGATAATAAAATGGGTGATATTTACCTCTCGTGAGCAGCCACCACAGTATACATCAATACCATATTTTTCGCCAAAAACAGTCGCATTAAACCATCATCCGGGTAAACTAACAACAATGACCCTGCAAAAATAAGCAATTGGGCATGAAACCTCATTTTTGTGGTCTCTATTCACAACCCGGCCCCTTTAATAAAAACAGCAGAATTAACCGCTCTCGTAAAGTTACCATTGTTTTTGCTCCTGTCTGTTTGTGATCTAGGGCCGGATATTTCGAGACATGAGTCTGCCAGGAGTGAGGCCAGCGGAACGTGCTGCTCTGTATGTTGCCATGATCGAGACGCTTGCAAGACTGCACAGTGCTGACTGGAGAGCCTTGGGCTTGCAGGGTTATGGGAAGGATCGTGGTTACTGCAAGAGACAGGTTCAGTTTTCAGTGGAGATTGTTATTTAGCTGTTAAATGCCCATCACTCTGAAGAGCTGCCCTCATACACATATTTTTTTCCCTGTCACTTTTGCTAATTTTACATTCAGTCAAGTATTTGGGTCTAAATTGTGACACTTGATTAACTTGATTCCATAATAAGGAGTCAAGGAATCCGACAATAATATCTTCCATTGACAATAAGTAATGGAGTCTTCCCTCCGTGAATTCAGGTCTTAACATGGACAAAACAGTACAAGGCTGCCGCAACGTCCAACATTCCCGCCATGAACCAGTTATCCGAATGGCTGCTCAGTAATTTACCGGATAATGATCAGGAAGGAACTTTAGTCCATGGTGATTTCCGTCTGGAAAATATAATCTTTCACCCCACTGAGGTAGGTGGACATGTACATGTCTCTGTGTGTCCTGCAGTAGATGATGAATCTGTGACTGAAAGGTCTCTCTGTTGAAGCCCCCTTTGCCACTCAGCTGATCAGCGTTGTCTGCATCCTGTGCTGGTGTCAAGCCACTGGATGAACAGTGCCACAAACACAGAATTATCCTTCAAATGATGGTTTCAAAACCTCTGTTTCATTAAAAGGGAAAATCCTGTAAAAGCAAGAACCCTTTGTAATGCTATATTATATTGAAATGCAGCAAATTGGTTTATTAGTAATTAATGTCTTGTTATGGCTTTTTTTGCACACAGATGTGGTGCCCATTTTGCATGCAGCAGGAAGTCATGTTTGGAATGACTCACAAAAATGAAAGAATTAGTTCAGTGGAATTGCTTATTAATAATATGAGTGCTCTTTAGGTCTTAGTTTGGACTGTTTTATAACAAAACAAAAACATGTTTTGCGATCCCTAGGCTCGGGTCCTGGCTGTGCTGGACTGGGAACTGTCAACCATTGGACATCCCATAGCAGACCTGGCCTACACCTGCTTGCCTTTCTATTGGCCCAAGGAAGTCCTCTTTATTGGACCGAACTGCAATTCAAATATTCAGGGGGTTGAAGGTGAGTTGTTAATGTTGTGGTTCTCCTGGCACGAGATTGCTGAATGCTGGCTGAATGATAAATGAATATTGAGTCTGATTATTAATAATCCTTACATTTAATATAGAATTTTATCATGTTGAAATGTCTCAAGTCGCTTCACAGATTTTTCTGTAAGGTGCAGTGACTTGCAGTGCAGTATTCGTAGGTGAATTCAGAAGCACAACAATGTCCCACAAACAACCATGAAGTGAATGACCAATTTTTTGAAAATCTGAGGTCTTGATGGCCAGGATACTGGGAGGGACTCCCTTCTCTTCCAATAGCGCCATGGACTCTTTAAAGTCCATTTCAAAAGGCAGACAGGATCTCGGTTTAATGTTTCATCTGAAGCATGTCACCTCGGATAATGCAGTGCTCCCCTAGCGATCCCCTGGAGTGTCCTAGATTGTGTGAGCTCACAATCTTGACGTAAGGCTTGAAACCACGTGGGGTTTAAAGTTAGGGCCTCAAGGTCTAGAATGACTTGTGCTGAATCTTCAGTATGGGCTGGGCTAGAGGTGCTTGCAAACTGTCAGCCATAGTGAAAAATGATCTTAGCTGATTTGTCCGTACCCCTCCCAGAAATGAGAATTCAGTATGTAGAGAATGACAGACTCAGCTGGTGTGAAACAGTTGCAGACTGTCCTGTCTCTACTGTCCGGTCTCCTGATGAAGGTGGCCATGTGCTGCTTCTTTCAATCCAAATAAATGAGCTCTTCTGAGAGACTATCCAGTGAGTGATTTTTTTGTTCAGCCGAGTGGGTGACACGTGGAAACCCATCGCCATGCTTAAAAATGACACAGGAAACATAGAAAATGGAGGCAGAAGGAGGTTCTTCGGCCCATCAAGCCTGCTTCACCAGATCTGGGTAGATTTTTTAATCTCAGTGTAATGTTTTATAACAGACGAGGAAGCAGATTCCTTAGTGATATAATCTGTTATGAAACATTGCATATTTACCCCAATTGACCAACACAGTGATTTGGCAAAATGTCTTCTAGTTCAGCTTTCTGCAGAGCCTTGAGTGTCTCGAAAGGATTATTTACTAACATTTCCCACCATCACCACCCACTTGTCTTTATTTCCTAGGAATTCCATCTTGTGAAGAATTGCTCTCTATTTACTGCCGATGTAGAAGTCTTCCTGTCTTACTACCGAACTGGAACTTCTTCCTGGCCTTATCCTCATTTAAGTTGGCCTCCATAATTCAGGTAATACTTCACTTGTACAGTACAGTATAATAATATTAGTATCACTATGAGTCCACAGAGAAGTATTATTTACTGAATTTATTGCAAATGAGTTGGCAGCAACGTAAAACCCTTCCAATTACAGTTGTAATCTAGGACTGATTGTGACCGTGAGTTTAAGTACAACCAGCTGTTACCTGGTCTGCGCTTTGGAGATGACAGTAAATTTGCAGTACAGAACATTTTGTCTTAAGGTATTTTCTTCCCTTCCTCTCTGCAGCATCTCTGCTTAAGGGAATGGACAGCAAGGTGGGAGGACATTCGGCCATTGCCTGCTCCTCCAGTCTAATCCTCCCCCTTTCCCGTGCACTTGTATATTGTTTCTCTTCAGAATCGTAAGGGATTCAAGTGGGGGTCTCTTCCTGGTAACAAATGACGTAACACTGCCCTGTGGAAATGCAGTTTCCGAAGGTGGGCAAGACATAATTCCTTATTGATGCAATACTGTGAAACAGCTGAATCAGACCCCATTTCTTCATCAAGGCTTGTGTCTTATTGGGAGACTGCTCTTGTTTAAGATAGAGTTCTGTTTGGAGGAATATTGACACTTTAAGCTGCTGTACTTTGGGTCCTCCAGGGGGTGTATGCTCGATCCATACTTGGAAATGCCACTGCTGACAATGCACACGAGTTCAAAGACAGTGTGAAGCCTCTGGCACAGACTGGATTGCTGCTCTCCAAAGGGTAAGAGTGTTACCCCCTTCCTCCCTTTTACATTAAGAGAATCTATGTACCACCAGATTATGCATGGAAATTCATAGAACTCAAGAGGTAAACATATAATTCTAGTGCACAAAAGGGCAGTTTCCAGTTCTCCTATTTTATTTTTATTAGAAAATAATTTTTCTCTCCTTCCCCGTGCGGTGCACCATTCCTTGGCTGGATGACCCCCATCAATGTTTCCTGAGGCTTTGCTCGTGCCATTCAAACCCTGGGCATAAGGGGGCCTGGATGACAGCGGTTTGGGTGACAGAGTCCTGTAATTGTTTTCCTCCTCCTTGGAGGCGAAGCTCCTGTCCTCTCTTATAACTGCTCTGCCCAGTGAGGCCAGAGAGTAATCCAATGTAATCTGAACGAATGATCAGCCTGTTTGGCTTGTCCTGGCTAACTAATCCTGTAAATAAAATTGGTCACTCATTTCATTGCTATGTGCAAATTGGCTGCTGTGTTCACCTACAAATACACAATGACTACACTTTACAGTAACTCCTGTGAAATGCTTTGAGATACTTCAACAGCAAATAAGGCGACATGTAAAATGCGAAGATTATTTATTAGTATTATGTGAACAACCTGACTAGATTGCCATTGATCACTCAGCACTGCTATTCCACATATAAAGCTTGTCGAGCAGTGTCGGGGCTGAGCCTGCAATGTTCAAAACAAGTAATGTTTATTATTGATTGCACAGTTACCAGAAAGTATTATGAATACCAAGAATCAAATTTGAGCTGCATTAGCTGACATTATGTGGCTCAGTTGAGAGTACTCTCATCTTTGGGCAAAAGTTTGTGGGTTGAATGAAACGCATATCAGGACTTGAGTTTATAGTCTGGACTGATTCTCCAGTGTGGTACTGGAGGAGCATTGCATTGTTATCCTATTATCCTGGCCCAAAAATATGTAATTGCTAATTCACCTCATGGCTGTTTGTGTTTGCCTATGAAAACAATCACTATACTCAATAGTAATGTAATGCACTTTGAGATGTTTTGAGGCATTAAGGTTTATAAGAACACAAGTTCCTCTCTAAATCCCCGATGTAGGAAATTGGAGCTATCGATCGAGCATCCCCCTGATACAAGAAGCCAATCGGAGCAGACAGCACAGGGCCATCTGGTCCTGCAGCAGCTGAAGAAATTCATGAAGCAGCACTTGTTTCCAGCAGAGCAGGTAAAGTCTGTTGTTACCTTCTGCCGACCACGTCATTGATGAACCTGCTTGGCCCTGCGATCAGTTTTAAATACTTATTTTATTACATTACAGAGTTCTCTGAGCCTTGTCTGGAAACGTTTATGAGCAGCTTGTGGTTACGTGATTATGTTTTAACATGGCAATTATGTTTTAACATGGCAATGGCTGGGAGCAATGATGTTGATTGTTCATTGCTTGTTTGTACTTGGGCTCAGTTGAGCTTATGTGTGTGTATGTGGGAGAGGTGGGCAGAAGAGGAGAGCTCTGCTTATATTAACTTGTGAGTTAAGACCCCTGTCCTCCCTGCTGCTTGGCTCCTGATGTTTTTTTTCCCTCTTCTTGTGTTGATCTGGGTTTGGGGGTTAGGGAGAAGGGAGGGAGATAGTTGTGTTTGTTTCTTTACGGAGTTATACCTTTGCACAGTGGGTAATTATCAACTGGAGCGCGTCACAGAGAGAATAGTTGAGGCTGGATTGCGATTTTATTTAAGCACAGTCAAACTTGTCTTCATCATCCTCTCAGGAGACTGAACCAAAGTGGCATTTAAGTAAGGATTCGTTTGTGCGTGTAGAATTTTTGTCTGGGCTGTTCCAGGGTGGTTCTTAACACGGGGTGGTGGTTGTTGAATGAAGGTGGTTGTTTGAAGAGGTTGTTAGGGTGGGATGGTAGGGTGGGTATGCTGGAAGGATAATAATAATATAATAATAATCCTTGCATTTGATATAGTACCTTATCACGTCTTTGAGACGTTTCAAGCTCTTCACAGAATATATTGTAAAGTGAATTAACTGTATGTTTTGTGGGCGAAACGCGGCAGCCAATTCCACATAGCAGTGTCCCACAAGCAGTCATGGATTGAATGACCAAATTATTATTTTTTTAAAGAGGGATTATTATCCCTGGAAAGCAATCCACCAATCGACTAACCAAATCGGATTCCTACTCACTAGGTAAACAGAGACATATGAAGTAAGGAAACTTGCTTAACGTTTCGTGCTGTTCAGCACTCAAAACATAATCTAAGGTGACACTCCAGGACAGTGCTGGGGTATGTTGCATTGTCCGAGGTGTCTTAACATTTAAAGTCGCGCAGAATTGTGGAAAATGCTTAAATTTGGTCCACATTTGGGAGCTGGTTTCTTTTTAAGGTTACCGAAAACTGCTTTCTTAATCAAGATGGAATTCAGAATTTTCCACAGATTTACAAGATCTTAGATTTTAAGACAAGATGGTTTTATGGACTAAGATTAGGTGGAATTTCAAACCAAATATCCGTAAATTTACCAAGATCAGCCTCTTTGTGTATTCCATATAATACACAAACTGCCCACTAGATGGCACCATGATGTTCTCTCTTCAACAACAACAACAAAATTACATGTGTACAGCAAACAAAAGCAGAAGTCGCTGGGAACACTTAGCAGGTCAAACAGCATCTATGGAGGAATGAACCAGGGAGACAAGGAGGGAACAGTCCCTTCGGAATGCTGAGAGGGGTGGGGAGGGAAAGATATGTTTGGTGGTTGGATCACGCTGGAGGTCCTGTAAATAACGGAGGATTATTTGTTGGTTGTTGAGGCTGGTGGGGTGGAAGGTGAGGACCAGGGAAACCTTATCACGGTTCTGGGAAGGGGTGAGGGCAGAGGTGCGGGAAACAGGGTGGACACGGTCAAGGGCCCTGCCTACCACAGTGGATGGGAATCCTCGGTCGAGGAAAAAGGAGGACACGTCAGTTGCTCTGGTGTGAATGGTGGCATTGTCAGACCAGATGCGGCAGAGGAAAAAGGGGCATGGAGTCTTTACAGGAGGTGGGGTGGGAGGAGGTGCAGTCCAGGTAACTGTGGGAGTTAATGGGCTTGTAAAAGATATCTGTTGATAATCTATGGCCCGAGATGGAAATGGTGAAGTCGAGGAAGGGAAGGCAACCGCCTCCCCACCAACTTACTGGTCACCCAGATCCCCCTCCCATGCCCACAAGTGCCTGATGTCATCAACCAGTCCCTCTCCTCCGTATCAGTCCTTGCCTCCCTCAAAACTGCTGTCATCACCCCCCTCCTGAAAAAACCCTCCCTAGATCCCTCAAACCCCAGCCACTACCACCTTATTTCTAACCTGCCCTTCCTCTCAAAAGCTCTAGAACGGGTTGTGGCCAACCAACTCTGCGCACACCTCTCCTCCCACTCCCTCTTCCAACCCCTCCAGTCCGGTTTCCGTCCACAGTACAGAGACTGTGCTTGTGAAAGTCACAAACGACATCCTCTCTATCTGTGACCAGGGCTCCTCTGCTTCCTTGTTCTCCTGGACATCTCCGCCACGTTCGACACAGTCAATCACGCCATCCTCCTCCACTGCCTTTCCTCCGTCATCCACCTCAGTGAGACCGCACTCGCCTGGTCGAGTCCTACCTCACAAACCGCCAGCAGTACATCTGCACAAACGACTTCTCCTCCCACTCTCACCTGGTCACCTGCGGGGTACCCCAAGGATCCATCCTTGGCCCCCTCCTCTGCCTAATCTATATGCTCCCTCTTGGGGATGTCATCCACAGACATGGGGTACATTTCCACATGTATGCAGACGACACCCAAATCTATTTTTCCACCTCTCTTTGCGACCCCCAGTCCCCTGATGTTCTGTCAGGCTGCCTGTCAGATCTCAGGGGCTGGATGAGCGCAGATTTCCTTCAGGTGAACGACAAGACAGAAGCCATACTCTTTGGCTCTCGTCAACGTCTTAACTCTCACGGTTCTCACCTCCTTCACCTACCCAACCTCCCACTAAAACTCTCCGAACCTGTACGCAACCTAAGCATCAGGTTCGACCCCCAATTATCCTTCCTCCCCCACATCTGGTCCCTCACCAGCACTGCTTTCTTCCACCTCCAACGCATCACCCATCTCCGCCAATATCTCACTCCAAGAGCTGCTGAAACCTTTGTTTCATGCCTTTGTCACCACTTGGTTGGACTACTCTAATGCCCTCCTCGCCAGCCTCCCATCCACTGCCATCCATAAAATCCAAATCATTCAAAGCTCTGCCGCCCGCATTCTCACCCGCACAAAACTCCGCTCCCCGGTCACCCCAGTCCTTGCCAGACTGCACTGGCTGCCTGTCCCAGAGAGGATCGATTTCAAGATCCTCACTCTTGTCTTCAAATCCCTCCACTCCTCTGCACCCCCTACCTCTCTGACCTCCTCTCTCCTCAAAACAGTACCCGTTGCCTTCGATCCTCCTGGTCTGGCCTCCTCCTTGTCCCCCGAGTCCTCCGCTCCACCCTCGGCTGCTGTGCCTTCAGCCACTACGCCCCGAGGCTCTGGAACTCCCTTCCTCACTCCCTTCGTCTCACTCCCTCCCTTCCATTTTTAGGTCTCTGCTGAAGACCTTTCTTTTGGACCGCGCCTTTGGTCACCTTCCTCCCCCTTTCTCCGGCTTGGTCCCCGGATCCGTTGCTGTGAAGCACTCTGAGACGCCGTCCAGCGTGGAGAGTGCTATATAAATCAAAGTTGTTGTTGTTGGAAGAGTCGGAGATGGACCATGTGACCATATTATGGAGGGGTGGAAGCAAAATTGGTGAATTTTTGCAGCTCAGCGCGAGAGCAGGAATTAGCCCCAACGCAATCGTCATTGTATCTGAGGAACAGGTCAGGGAGAGGATCTGATTAGACCCGGAACAAAGAGTGTTCCAGGTGGCCATCAAACAGGCAGGCGTAGCTGGCACCCATTTCGGGTTCCCATTGCGACACCTTTTACTTGGAGGAGGTGGGTGGAGTCGAAAGTGAAATTGTTCAATGTCAGAACAAGTTCAGTCAGGTGGAGGAGGGTGGTGATGGATGGAGACAAGTTGGGCTGCTATTCGAAATTCAGGACCAAGGAACTGGAAATTGTTGAAGAGGCGGAAGGCGTCAGAGGAGTCACGGATGTAGGTTGGTAGGGCCTGGACAAGTGGAGCAAACATGGAGTCCAGATATGAGGCGATCAGTTCGGTGGGGCAGCAACAGGCTGAAACAATAGTTCTCCCGGGACAGTCCTGTTTGTGGATGTTGGGGAGGAGGTAGAGGTGGGCTGTGCGGGGCTGGGGGCTATGAGGTTGGAGGCTGTAGAGGAAGCTCCCCAGAGGAGATAAGGTCATTGGCTGTCTCGGTGATGATGGCTTGGTGTTCAGTTGTGGGGTTTTGTATAGTGCCTTGGGACATCCTCAAATGTATAGCGCCTTTCATGTCGGGCAGACATTTCAAGGCGCTGGACGCTGAGTGTTTCAGACAGAGGTAGGGGTCGGTGTTAGGGTCTGGGAGGGTAGAGTGCAGGGAGGGCGAAGGAGGGTGACCGAAAGCACAATCGAAGAGGAGGGTCTTGGAGGAGGCAAGGGAGGGGGCGAGGCTGAGGGACTGCGGGATGGAATTCCAGAAGGTGGGGGCAGAGTGGCAGAAGGCCCAACCGCCAATGCTGGGGCATCGAGGCGGGGAACGTGGAGCAGACCGGAGTCTGCTGAGCGGAGGGAGCTGGCAGGTTGGTAGGGTATTAGGAGGTCGCAGAGGTAGTGGGGAGCAAGACCATGGAGGGCTTTGAAGGTGAGGACTAGGATTCTTGAACTATATCTCCTGTGTGATGGGAAGCCAGTGGAGTCGGGCGAGGATGGGGGTGATAGGGTCATGAAGCCTGGTGCAAGAGAGTTCTGGATGATCTGCAGCCTATGGAGGGAGGTGATAGGGAGGACAACAAGCAGGGAATTTGCGTAGTCGGGAAAGGCAGAGTGGGTCATGGCACGGATGTGGGGTAGAAAGTATAGTTGAGGATCAAACAAGATGCCAAGGTTCTGGACAGGCTTAGTAAGGTGGAGTGTGCTTCCTTTGATGGTGATTCTGTCAGCGCCTGAGGTGAGAAGGCGCTGATGAGAACCAATCAGGAGAGCCTCGGTCTTGTTGACGTCCAACTGGAGAAAGTTAACTTTCATCCAGGACTTGATGTCTGACAGACATTCTGCCAGGACAGCAGTGGTCCTGAAGTTGAGGGTGGAAGCAGAGAGATAGAGTTGGATGTCATCCTCATACATGTGGAAGTTGACCCCATGTCTGTGGATGATATCACCAAGAGGGAGCATATAGATATTGAAGATCTGTTATTCAGAGACATATTGGAGCTGAACAAAATCATGTGAATCTGAATTGAGTTTGATTTTCTTTTAAATGTTCTTTATAATCATCATCCTTACATTTGATATAGCGCTTTTCTCGTCTTCTAGACGTCTCAAAGCGCTTCACAGAATATGCTGTAAAGTGAATTGACCGTATATTTGTGGGCGAAATGCGGCAGCCAATTGCGCACAGCAGTGTCCCACAAACAGTCGTGGATTGAAAATGACCAATTTATTATTGTTTTGTTTTGGAGGGATTATTATTAGGCGTGTGGAAGTAAGAAAACTTGGCCAAGGTTTCACCCTTCCTGGAATTGAACCCAGGTCAGTTCCTGTTGAGGAGATAATCAACTGGTATCAGCCTGCCTCGGTTGGTAGCACTCTAGCCTCTGAGCCCAAAGGTTATGGATTCAAGCCCCATGTCAGGACTTTGAACTTACAATCCAGGGTGATACTCCAGTACTGTGCTGGGAGGAACACTACATTGTTGGAGGTGATGTACTACAGATAAGACAATAAACTGAGGTCTTGTCTGCTTTTTCAGGTGGACGTTAAAGATCCCATGGCACCAGTTGAAAAGAGAAGGGAGTTTCCCCCGATGATCTGGCCAGCAATTCTCCTGGTCATGCATGTCATGGCTGTTTGAAGGATGTTGCTGTACAAATGGGTTGCTGTGATTGCCTACAAAGTACACAGTCACGTCCCTACATCCTGTGAGGGACTTTGAGAAAAGGCACCATATCAAATTCAGAAATGATCATTATCATTTCAGCCACGAACAGCTCCAAAAAGACCGAACTGTCTTGCTTGTCGGATTGACAAGTGACTGTTTCTGGGGTTTGGGCTACCAATCCAGATGGCATGCACAGTAAACTCACTAAATAAGTGTATTCTCAGATGAAAGAGAAAAGAGAGAGGTGTTTGTGAGCTATTCAGTGCTGTCTATTGCTTTAATAATCATAATTTACATTGACTCACACTGGTAATCTTTCTGTGCAGGAGATTGCAGAATATTATGCCAGAAATGAACATTCTGTTCTCCGATGGAAGCAGCCACCTGTTATAGAGACGCTGAAGGTACATTGTGGGACTTTGTATCTTTGCATCCATAATGGGTCTGAAGTTCAAGATTCACCAAATGATTAGTGTGTGTCTCTCTCTGAAAATCTGCTCAGATGACAAGCTCAATTTTGATATGGCTTTGCTGGGAAGGAAATGGGATTCCAAGTGGAGTTTCAAATGTGCTATTTGCAAATCCCTCAATCTTGACACAATTGTCTGCAGTGTGTGGGAACAGTGCAGCACATGCTCTTTTGCTGACAAGATCGCAAAGGGAGCTTTAAGGTTTCAAAATATGCTCGTTGGGAAAAACAGCAGCACAAACCGTGCCTGTAAGAAGTGCCTTGGGACATTGAGTGCGTTTCTTCTGAGCAATCCCATCTATAGCACACTGACCCCGGGACAGTGCATCTTGTCTCCTTATTCTTTCATACCCCTTCCACCACATTGTCACCTGGTGTCCCATCCAACAGTCCAGCTCAAGGTTTACTTCCTGACAGAACAGAAGAGTTGCAACATTTTCAGGGCAGGCACTCATCAGGAGATGCAGTCACTAGTCAGAGGTCAAAGGGTAATAGTTTGCAGACTTGCTTCATCCATAGTGGAAAATGACAAAAGCCCCTTATCAGAAGAACAGCAAAGATGTTTCCAATTTTGCATGCATTACTTTTGGCTGATGATTTGCTGTGACACTGCTCTCCAGGCAAGTCGTTTTTGTGAAACAGCCCCAGTACTGCTTCCAGAGATTAGCAAAAGAAAACTTTGCAGGAGCATCTCTGCCCCCATTCTTTGGAACTCCATCCCACAGTCCCTTCTACTTGCTCCCTCTCTTGCCTCCTTCAAGACTAGTCTCAAGACCTCCTTTTCGATCTCTCCTTCGCCACCCTCCTACCCCTACCCTCCCTGCCCTCCATCCCCACTGATCCCAACCCCCCTGCTCAGGTCCGAATCTCTGTCTATCTGATTTGAAAAGCACTTTACAAATGTAATATGTTGTTTTTACTCCTGGCAGCTGAAGGCTAAAGCTGTGGGACTATGGAACCTCTTTTTACCAGAGGTCAGTGGCCTGAGCCAGCTGGACTATGCTTTCATGGCTGAAGAAATGGGACGATGCTTCTTTGCTCCAAAGGTTTTCAACTGCCAAGCCCCGGGTAAGTTTCTGCAAAATGTTCTGCAAGCTTCTGGTTTAATTTTTTTTCTTTATTATTTGCACATTGACACACTGTTACCAAAATAAAATTTTGTTCAGGAATAATGGGCATTTGAAATTGATGGTCAATTTGAACTCATCTAGGCTGAATAATAATGATAATCCCTGGATGTCTTCGAGACGTCTGAAAACGCATCACAGAATATACTGTAAAGTGAATTGACTTTATAATTTGTGAGCGAAAATTATTACCCCACGAAAAGCAATCTGCCAATTGAGTAGCAACTGGGTTCCTACATACTGCTAGGTAAACAGAGGCGTGTGGAGTAAGGAAACTTGCCCAACATTTCTTCGGCCAGGAATAGAACCCAGGTCTCTCGCTTGCGAGGCAAGTGCTGCATTGTTGAAGGTGCTGTGCTTCGAATGAGACATTAAAACGAGGTCCCGTCTGCCTTTTCAGGTGGACGTTAAATAACCAATGGCACGATTTGAAAAATAAATGGAGATTCTCATGGTGTCCTGGCCAACAATCCTTTCAAAATAAAATTCATGATTTACATGATGTGTTTGGCACTGTGACTGTGTTCACCTACAAATACACAGTCACTCACTTTACAGTAAATCCCATGAAATGCTTTGAGGCTTCATCCTGACATGAAAATGCTATATCAAATGTAAGAGTAACTATTATTAATAATAACATTTTCTCTCTAAGAATTGCAAAAAAACAGCTTCCAAACTGAGTTTACCATAATTCTGCAAGTTACAACAACAACAACAACAAATTGCATTTATACAGAACCTTTCACTTAGGGAGGATGTCCAAACACATTGGGAGTTGGGGGTTGGATTCAAGAGGGATGGGAGGTGAGAAGATTGGGGGTGGGAAGATGACTGAAGGCAAGGTCAAGGAGGAATATCTCGAGACAGACCTTGAAGGAGGCAAGGGTGGGGGGAGAAGCAGAGGAGCTCTGGCAGATGACATCACCAAGCGGCTGACGTCATTGAGTGGGAGCATGTAAATATTAAAGACAAGGGGACAGTACAGAGCCCTGAGGCATTCCCGTAAGTATGGTGTGAGGGCTGGAGGAGAAACCGTTGACAGATACAAAGTGGAGAATGGGTGAATCAGATCCTGAACGTGTGGGTGGATATTGTGTGAGGGCTAGATTAAACAGGACTGCGATTGTTAAGAGATTGATAATTACTCACCGTTGCGAGGCTTGAACACAAGGAGAGGTGTGTGACTGATGGCCATTGTACCATATCCTGGCAAATTGTCAAAACCTCCAGGATGGGTGGGGGCGGGGGGAGAAATTAGTGGAGAAAATCAGCATGGAAAAACAAACGTTTCTTATGACAATTGTGCTGTCAGGGGTTTTGAACAGGACAAAATGCGTTACCAGTATTGTCCAAATAAGTTAATCATTTTAACACATCTTCATGAAAGCGATTGAGCAAATGGAATTGAAGGATTTGGCCTGATCTGATAAATAGGCAGAAACAGGCTCAATAGGCTTACTGGCCTCCTTGTGTTCCTATGACGTACAAGAATTCATTTCAGCCTATTTGCCCCCACTCTCTGGTACTCCATCCCGGAGCCCCTACGACTCACCCCTTCCCTTTTTTCCTTCAAGGTCCGCTTCAAGACCTTCCTTTTTGACTGTGCCTTCAGTCATCTTTCCCTCCTAACTCCCTCAGTTCCAAGCCTCATTGGCTCCAGAATTAGCTTGGGTGCTAATTCTGTTATTATGTTAATTCTGGATTGTTCAGTGCTTTTGGGATTCCTCTCGATGCGAAAGGTAGTTTATAAACTTACATTTGTTGTGTCAACATGTGTCATTGATTACTCATCGTTGCTTCATGAAGCTTTCAGTCATTTTGTTTTGTTCTCTGGAACTTTGTGTCTGAACCTATCTGCTTCCCCCCTCCTCACTTTCGAAGCCCACCTTTAAAACCTTTTCCACCTGCTTTTGGTCACCACTCTCCCCGCCTTCTCAGATTCCCCATCCCCAGCTTCCCCATCCCAGCCTGGGTGCCTAGTTGGCTCTGTGAAACACTTTGAGATGGCCGCCTGATGTGAAAGGCGCTATATAAATATTGCTGTTGTTGTTTGGCTCTGATTAAACCTTGTTCCTCCTGCTTGTTTTGCAGACACGGGGAACATGGAGGTGCTGCATTTATACGGAACAGAGGAGCAGAAGAAGCAATGGCTGAAGCCACTGCTTTCGGGAGAAATCAGCTCCTGCTTCTGCATGACTGGTAGCAAATGATTTTACTTCATTGCAGTCTGAGATGTCAAATGGGAAATATTCAAACTTGATTTTGTGTGTCTACCTCCTGATCTAACAGAGAGTGAGGCTGCATTCCTGACAGAAAGAGTTTGTAAATTCAGTTTAGTTTGAAAGTTGGTTTCTGAAAAGATGTGCAGAAAACTGGTTTCCAAATTAAGATAAAATTCAAGACCTTTCCAAAATTCTGTCCAAAATTCTTAAATTTCAGGCTCCTTATTGGGTTCCTTTCCTAGTGATGGGGTAATGGAGCTGGGTCAGTCTGGGGAAATTAAAACGGCTTGCTGTTTATTTGCTGGGCTATATTGAAATATTCATCCAGAAGCCACACGACTCCAGTTTGAGAAGAGCACGTTACTGAGGGTGATTGAATGGAGGTCAATACGTCATACACATGGGCTTCCTGTGTAACGCCGCTGAGATCAGGAACTGGGGGAAATGGGGGATTGGGCTCAATCGCTGACTCCAGCAAGCGGAGGTGCTTCTGGTAAATAATGATTAATTATGGATGATTATGTTATGTATGATCATGACTATAAGCGTTGATTCGTATAATTATGGGTAATGTACTCGCTGTCATTTAATAAGGAGAATATAAAACTCTTGAAGTCAGCAGAAAAATGGAACCTAGTGGTAAGCAGGCTGGTACAACTTGGTTTCGAGCGATCAAAGAATTTAGATGAAGTTACATTTTTCAGAACAAAGAATCATGTTAGAAAACAGTTTCAAGGCCAGGACAGAGATACTGGGACAAGGAGATTAGGAGTCAGGAGAGGAGTCACAAGGGGCAAAGGAATGTATGAGAACCCATCACTGAGGGGTACCGATACAATGAACACCATGTACAGAATAAGATGAGCAGATCTGGAGGAATGCAATGGTCCAAAGGTGATGTGACTGTAAGAGTCAGTACTTTTAGAAATCTGAGTGAAATTGTCTCGGATCAGGGAGAGAACAGCTCTGTGGTTACCCTTGCGAAGGGCTGACCTCTCTGACCACAGAAACTCAAGATTGAGAACTTGCACTTCCTTGTCAAAGTCCTGGAATGCGTTGTTGCCAATCAACTCCGCGCAAACCTCTCCTCCCATTCCCTCTTCGAACCCCTCCAGTCCGGCTTCCGCCCTGCCCACAGTACAGAGACTGCGCTTGTGAAAGTTTCAAACGACATCCTCTCTATCTGTGACCAGGGCTCCCTCTGCCTCCTTGTCCTCCTGGACCTCTCCTCTGCTTTCGACAGTCGATCACGCCATCCTCCTCCACTGCCTTTCCTCCGTCATCCACCTTAGTGGGACTGCACTTGCCTTTCAAAGCCATACTCTTTGGCTCTTGTCAGCATCTTAAATCGCACGGTTCTCACCTCCTCCACCTACCCGAACCTCCCCCTAAAACTTTCCGAACCAGTATGCAATCTAGGCGTCAGTTCGACCCCCAATTATCCTTCCTCCACAACATCCGGTCCCTCACCAGCACTGCTTTCTTCCACCTCCGACGCATCGCCCGTCTCCGACAGTACCTCTCCCAAAAGCCGCAGAAACCCTGGTCCATGCCTTTGTCACCTCTCGGCTGGACTATTCAAACACCCTCCTCACCAGCCTCCGCTCCACTACCATCCATAAAATCCAGATTGTTCAAAGCTCTGCCGCCCGCATTCTCACCCGCACCAAACTCTGCTCCCTAATTACCCCAGTCCTTGCCAGACTGCACTGACTGCCTGTCCCAGAGAGGATGATTTCAAGATCCTCAGCTTGTCTTCAAATCCCTCCACTCCTCTGCACCCCCTACCTCTCTGACCTCCTCTCTCCTCAAAACAGTGCCTGCTGCCTGTGCTCCACCGGGTCTGGCCTCCTCCTTGTCCCCCGAGTCCTCCGCTCCACCCTCAGCGGCTGTGCCTTTAGCCACTATGCCCCGAGACTCTGGAACTCCCTTCCTCACTCCCTTCGCCTCGCCCCCTCGCTTCCTATTTTCAGGTCTCGGCTAAAGACCTTTCTCTTCGACCGTGCCTTTGGTCACCTTCCTCCCCATCCCCCTGGCTCGGCCCCGGGATCCATTATTGTGAAGCGCTCTGAGACACCGTCCGGCATGGAGAGCGCTATATAAATCCAAGTTGTTGTTGTTGGACGAGCAGGAGGGCTGAAGGAGAAAGAACCACACAGACTCTTGAGTTAAAACTCAGAGACCAGCACGCAGGCAGTCTGTCCTACTGATCACGCTGATCACTGGGTGACTCGGGAGAGCAGGAGCAGAGAGGCTGAGAACGTCTGTCAAGACGATTTCTCAACTGACCAGAGAAGGGCATCCCTCACATTCCAAGAGGGGTAGCTGAGTGAGCCAAGTATCTTAGGGAGAGAGAGCAATCCTGCCTACAAGAGCTGGGGACCTACCGAAGCGGCTGCTAGTTACCGGTAGAATAGTGATACGCACCCTCACGGGTCCATACCTTCCTTCTTGTACCCACTGTGTTAATCTTATATGATTTTATTATTAGTATCATTTTCTTAGATAGTATTCGCGATCAGGATACTATGATTTTTTCATAAATTAGTGTTGTGAGCCAGTCGGGGTAATCATGATTATGATAATCGTCTGTGAACATGTTTGTTAATCATATTGACTCTTAAGTGCGATCCTGTTTTAATCAGGTGTTGGTGAACCTGGAGTTCCTAACTATATAACCTTTAACCTAACATTGTACTGATCAATATATTTTCAAGTATATTCGAAAACTTAAACTCTGTTAAACATCCATTGGTCTCCGAGTCTTGAGTGTATCGATTCTAAGCAGCCCTGCGAAAGTTAACATTCTCCAAAGGCCACTGCCTCTCTCCACCTTCTTTGTATTTCCATGTCTATTATTCTGAGGGGTTTCTAGTTGATGAGCCTCTCTTGTCTAAATGGTTCCCTGTTTGTGTAAGCTACACACAGGATTTATTGCGGTGAAGTTTGGGGAAATAGCTGCACCCTGCTGGGTTGAATTTTTTTTGAGTAAAAACATGTATTTTGGCCTTGTTGTTTTCCCCCAAAAAGGAATATGAATCAAACGAGCCACAGTGTGTGCCGTTGAGATCTCTGCTTGTGGTTATTTTAGTTTTTGATGGTGTCTCTGGTGTGATTTTCAGAGCCAGCCGTGGCCTCCAGCGATGCCACTAACCTGGAGTGCAGTATTCGCCGGGAAGGAGCGAGCTACAGGATAAATGGTACCAAGTGGTGGAGCAGTGGTGAGTAAAGCTGGGATATCGCTCTTTGTGTTGGATGTCACTGTGATTCTTAGCTGGTTGGGTTCATAGTCCACTTGCTACATGTTCATCCATGTTGTATAGATGTTCATCCATCTATGCTATATCCAAATTGGCTGTTATGTTTGCCTAAAAATGTGCAGTCCCTATATCCATGACAACAATTATCTGTGAAGCTCTTTGGTATGTTTCAATATTATAGGCATTATATCATAGTAATATTATTATAGTGTATCATATGCACCGACTGTTTAATTTTTTAGTTCTGTTCAAATGGGTGGGTTTCGTGTGCAGCCATTTGACTTACCACCCCCCGCCCCCCCCATAAAAACAACCAACAACTGTGATCTGATGTATTTGGACGATCTGCAGTTTATAATTGTCTGACAAAGTGATAGCAAGTTGTTGTTCAATCTTTCCTGAAACAACTTTGCAGCGGAAACCTGCCTTAGTTACTTATATACAGTGCCGCTGGGAACCGAGCTTCCCACCCATTAGTTGTGCTTTGAGATGCAGAAAATAGCCATAGTTTTAGTCCAATCCCAATGACATATAGAGGGGGGAAATACCACCTGGATCTACATTTACTGTTTTCTTATACTTTCGGAGCATCCAGAATTTGGGAATTTGAGTTCTTAAATTCAATTTTAATTTTGAAGCTGGTTTTCTGTAAGTTTCATTTAAGATCTATAGAAAACTGACTTTAGAGTTAGGACTGAATTCTGGACACTCTGAAATGTTACATAAATAGAGTAAATCTAGACACAAGCTGATTTATTCCTGCTCCTTATTGTGAAGGAATGCAATGACAGTATAAAGTAGGTATGTCTGATTTTAGGGTACAAAATACCATGAGGTACAGTGATACTATGTGTTGTCAAGGGCAAGAGCGAGAGGAGAAGTAGGGGGCCAGATGAACCCAGGCTGCTCTCATAACTGAAGTCATTAGAAGTGAAGTCATTAGAAGTGTCATATGACAGCTCGTCCATCAAATGCAGTGAAATTGAAAACATAAAGGTTCTTGCTGAAGCTGTATTTTTGAATATTGTAATAGCTGAATTGATCTGGATTTGTGGGTTGAAACGTGGTAGAGATCAGCCTCTGAAATCACAGAGACGGAAAGATTTTGTTAGTGACCTCCTGCTACATTGCCAGAATTGTCCCTCCTATAGCTTTGAATTTCTCAAGTAGCATGAGTATAGCACACACAGCATGGACACTCCCTATTCTGTTTAAAAGAAAGCAAAACTGTCTGGTTTCTGAGAAACAGATTTTGTAGTTGTTTTAATTAAAGCATTTTTTTAAAAAAAGCTAACTGCCTGAGACGTATGGATATCCACCACCATGCTTAATATTATCCAAACCAGACTGAGTGTTCCCCATGTGTGGAATTTCCCTGTATCTGGAATGGAAAGTGCTCTCTCTTCCCAGAGGGATGCATCCTGCTTGACTAATTCTGGGGGATATGAGTTGCAAGTCGGTAAAATGCAAGGCTTGGAGACCCCAGAGTGTGTGTTGGGATACTGCTGGAGTTTAACCAGCTAAAACTGCATAGCTTGCCAGGTTAAACCCCAGCAAGACTCAATTTCACTGGGGGAGAGAATAAAACATTTCAAAAGTATAAAGTATTCATGAACAAATTGACTTTCATACTTTAGAAAATTACAGTTTTTTTTTGTACAACGATATCCTTGAACATCACAATTTGTAATATTCTGTCTTTGATGTCTACCTGAATAAAGTGACTCCAAGTGTTTATCTGGTAAATAAAACTGACCTTTACAAAACAAAATATGTTATAGTGTATATTGCTGTAAATTGCATTGGAATGTTGTGATATAAATCACAGGCTAATGTTTATGAAGTTGTGGACAGTAATGGTTTACATTTTGGAATTTTGTATCCTGAGACATGTTTTCACTTGTCAGACAGTGGAGCTGTGCACTGCAGTGATTCTGGATAGATAACTCAGTGTGTAGGGGTTTTAATAAATGTGTGACCCTGTGGTGAAGTATGAACTGACACAAATTTCCTTTTAAGTTGTAGAATTTAATAAAAGATTAGGAAGGTTATACATATCAAAGTTATATGTTTCATCAAATCAAATTAACGCTCACAACGGGTCAGTTGGATCTGATCCACAACGGATCAGATTCTTGCTTACGACGGGTTAGTAAAGTGGAGGAATTGACTTGTTAACGTGTCGATCCATGTTGATTGTAATATATCGAGATTGCAATTTCTTGAGATTGGTTGCGGTTAGCTCCCTTGTTTCCAAAACTTAGCTCTCCTCCTTTTGTTGAGAATTATCCTTGTAAAGACATATACATTGACCTTGAAAAGACATCTGGAATTTAGCTCCACTAAAAAACCTGGCTCTCCCCCAATGACCCCGTCCCCCTAGTGGAAGCCTCTCTTCCAGGCTACACCTTCCACTACATCCCCCGTCCAAACCAACGTGGTGGTGGGGTAGCCCTCATCTCCAAAGCCTCCCTTGGCCTCACCCCCTAATCCTCTGGCTGCTTCCCCTCTTTCAAGCACCTCACCCTTTTCCACCCCTCTCTCCCTTTGAAAATCCTCCTTGTTTACCGTCCCCCTAAGCCCCCCGGCTCCTTCCACACAGACATCTCTACTCTCCTCTCTTCCCTGTCCCTCTGCTTCAAGAGCCTACTCATAATGGGCGATTTCAACCTCCACCTAAACTCCCCCTGCACTACTTCTGCTGATTTCACTGCCCTCCTCTCCTCCCTTAACCTCACCCTACATCTAAACTCACCCACCCACAACCGTGGTCATGCACTTGACCTCATCATCACCCATGGCCTTGACATTTCCGACCTCAGCATAGTGGACAAGGCCATTTAGGACCACCTTTTCATCTCCTTCTCCTCTCACATCCCTCTCCTCCACAAAGCCCTCAACCATCCTCTACCACTCTTGGAAAAGGCTACCCCCTGAGACCCTCACACAGCCCTCTCATCATCAGACATCCTATCCCTCTGGCCTTCCACCCACGGAGATCCTGAAGCAGCCGTCCAGCTGCTCCATGATCACCTCTCCTCCACTTTCAACTCCCTTGTCCCCCTAAAATCCAGGACCATCTCCAAACCCACCCGATCCCCCTGGTACAACAACCATCTCTGCCGCCAAAACACCCAAACCCGTCTGCTCGAGCGCAGAAGGCGGAAAACTGGCCTGACAGTTCACTGCCAACTGTGGTTCGAGCATCGCCACAGGTACCGCCGTTCTTTGACAGGCGCAAAAACGGCTTCTACTCCAACATCATCCTGGAGGCCAAAAACAATCCCCAAATCCTTTTTTACACCACCCACTACCTCCTCCGTGCCCCCTCCGCTCAGGCCTCCTCAATCTTCACATCAAGTGCCAGGAGGTCATGGACTTCTTTTTTCCTAAAATACTCAACATCCACCGGGCAGCTTCATCCACCTGCCCCTTGTCACCCACCACCAACTTTCCTCATCATCTGCTCCTACCACCATCCCCTTTCTACACTCTTTCCTCCTCATCTCTCCCTCCTCCCTCTCACCCACCATCACCTCCATGAAACCCACCACCTGCTGCCTCGATCACCTCCGCACCAACTTACTGGTCACACAACTCCCTCTCCTATGCCTCTCCTCCAGATCAGTTCCTGCCTCCCTCAAAACTGCTGTCATCACCCCCTTCCTCAAAAAACCCTCCCTAAATCCCTCAAGCCCCAGGCACTACTGCCCTATTTCTAACCTGTCTTTCCTCTCAAAAACTCTAGGACGGGTTGTGGCCAACCAACTCCGTGCACACCTCTCCTCCCACTCCCTCTTCGAACCCAACTCTTCGAATCCAACTCATTCAGATCTCTGCCGCCCGCATTCTCACCCGCACAAAACTCCGCTCCCCGATCACCCCAGTCCTTGTCAGACTGCACTGGCTCCCTATTCCAGAGAGGATCGACTTCAAGATCCTCACCCTTGTATTCAAGTTCCTGCACTCCTCTGCACCCCCCTACCTCTCTGACCTCATCTTTCCTCAAAACAGTACCCATTGCCTTCGTTCCTCCGGGTCTGGCCTCCTCCTTGTCCCCCAAGTCCTCCGCTCCACCCTCGACGGCTGTGCCTTCAGCCACTATGCCACGAGGCTCTGGAACTTCCTTCCTCACTCCCTTCGTCTCGCTCCCTCCCTTCCCATTTTCAGGTCTCTGCTGAAGACTTTTCTTTTTGACCGCGCCTTTGGTCACCTTCCCCCCCTCCCCCTGGCTCAGCCCCGGGATCCAAAACTGTAAAGCGCTCTGAGACTCCGTCCGGCGTGGAGGGCGCTATATAATTCCAAGTTGTTGTTGCTATGGTGAGTATGAGCGAGATGCCAAACAATCAGCACCTCTGAACTGAATCCAATTCAACGCAGGCTTTGTTCACGATGCACAACACAAAACTATTTCAACCACCTTGCCTCCTTCAGGGCCTATCCCCACAGCATCTTCTTTCCTCCATACCACTTACTCTCCATCCCTCTCTGATCCCAACCTACAGCTCGGGGTGCAAATCCCTCACTGTCCAGCTGATGTGAAAGGCACAATGAATGCAATTTGTTGTTGTTATTGTGGCCCGCAGAGCACTAGATTACACTGGTGCAGTGTACAACAACAACAACTTGCATTTATATAATGCATTTGGTTGCCACCAAAATGGTTGGCCACCACTGCTATAGAGAAAAGACACTCAGGATTGTGATGTCTTCTGTGCCAGTGACTTCAAGCATACGATCCTCTGTGAAATGCAGTTGGTTAGAGTTGGGCAGTGCAGGTGAGTTTATTATACTGGAGATTTGGTCAACTTTTTTTGAGTATCTGGGACAGATTTAAATTTATCCTCTTGGAGGTTTTCCTTCAGTTGTGTGTGTGGGAAGCGTAGAGTCAAGGATGGGTCAAGTTTTGAGCTTGAGGGGAATATTTACCTTTTCTGGTTCCACACTCACACTCAAGGGTACTCTCAATTATCAGAACACTTAATCCCTTTTGGTGTAAATGATCAAAATGTAGCATAGTGCATTTATATGTTGTTTTTCCATAGAGAAGTGTCATCGCACCTTTTGCCTAATGTGATCTGAGCATTGCAGTACAGTAAACCTCACATAAGTCATATCAGTTGGGACAATACATTTAATATGACTTTTGCAAAGTACGAGTTTTGTCAAACTTGCATATGTAAAGTTAGGTATAAGTCAGATTTTAAATGACTAACACATAATAAATACAGCACACAAGTACTGTATTGGCTGGTGACACTAAGGCAAGATTTCTGTGCCATGCTTAACGCATGCATATTAAAGTTATGGTAGCCCATTCTGTCCCTATACAGTACTGTACCTCAGTGCAGAAAACATATACTGTACAATGAATGGCACAACAAAACAGGTTTCAAAGAAGAACTGTTTTATTAGAATATAAACTCTTCCAAAAGTTCGCCCACAAAATATACAGTCAATTCACTTTACAGTATATTCTGTGAAGCGCTTTGAGACGACTCAAAGACATGCTAAGGCGCTATATCAAATGCAAGGATTATTATTATTACATACGTTTCACATGGCGCAGGGTTGTCCAACCTTTTTGGCTGCTGAAGACCGGATGCCCTGTTTGAGAATCGCGAAACCCTGCCCTCACTTCCTCTCTCACTCACTTGCTGTTTTTCCCTCTCTCCCCCTCTACCTCATGCTCTCTCTTAATCACTCTTCCCTCTCTCTCAATGCCCCCCTCTCCCTCTCTTGGTTTCTGTCTCTGGCCCCTTTCCCTCAATGATTTTTTCTACCCCCTCTCCCTTCTCTCTCTTCGCTCCATCTCTTTCCGCCCCCCCCCCCCCCCCATAGCTGATTATTATTGGTTAGGCTGGTGTTTCGACATGTTGATGGGTTTTTCCATGTGTCTGCAAAGAATCAGGCAACCCAAGAGAGAGAGAGAGGGTCCACCCAACCTCCTGCTGCTGCCCTGAGAAGACAGTTCACCAGGGAGAGAAGGAACGGGCAGCCCGAAGTTCTTTCCTCTCTCTTTTCTCTCTCAGCCCCCTCTGCCTCCCCCACCACCGTTCAACGATAATGTTAATGTTACGCCACCGGGAGGGAGATAGTTGGGGTTTCCACGTGCATTGTTCTGTTTGAGGTCAGCATGGAAAACAAAGATTTGACCCATCAGTCGGTAAATTCGGAATTGGTAAGCCAGAAATGCCGTTATGAGTTGCACGATTGTTAATATGACTAGTGCAGATAAATTTAAGTGGATTTAATAGGAAATTAATAGGTGGACAGATGTATGACTTAGGTGATTATATGACTTAGACAGATCAGACTTATGTGAGTTTTACTGTATTCACCACTAGTAAACACTTAAAAAGAACAGTGGAAATTTCTCCCATTGTCCTGGATTATATTCCCTCCTCATCCAATCTCATCCTCAAAATTCAACTAATCACCTGCTCATTTTGCTGTTTCAGGAAGGATGTCCCAGCGGCTTGGGACTTCTTTCCGACATGAAAGGTACTATATAACAATGTAATTTTATTGTTGTTGTTGCTTGGTAAAACTTTGCTGGTTGCAAATTACCATTTGCTCCGTTTAAAAAAAACATTCGCTTCAAATTTATCTCATCATGTGAGGCAGTTTGAAGCTTTTCTTTTACGTGGATGCTATAGAAATGCAAATTTCCATTCTCTTGCTGCCAGTTCTGTTGCTACATTGTGAAGCTCGTGGTTTGCTCGGATTGGGACAAAGAGTTGAAGGAGTACTGGATGGTGTCCGGCCTGTTCCGCTGTCTGCGGAGGTAGCTGTACTCTTTGACTGCTTTCACAATGTAACTCTTGAATGTTGCTCCCATAAAGACGTAAAGGATGGGGTTGAGGCAGCTGTGGAACAGGGCGATGCTCACTGTGACCTGGATGGCAACGTCGAACCTTTTGCTGCTCTGGCAATCCGTGATGACCAGATAAATGTTGTCAATTAGGCGGCAGAACTTGACGATGTTGTACGGTACCTGGGTCAGGAAGAAGAGCCCGACTACTGCCAGGAGCACCTTGAACGTCTTACGCTTCTTCACATTGGTGACTCTGGACAGTGCTCTGGCCACTTTGGAGTAACAGTACACCATGACCAGTAATGGGATTACAAAAGTCAGGAGGATTTCTAGGACCTGGACCATGGCCTTGGCCGATGTCTCTGTGTGTGAACGGAAGATGATCATGCAGCGATCCATGTCTTCTCTGTTAGCCACCGTGGTAAATATCAAATCGGGGATGCTGAGTAGAAAGGCCAACAGCCAGACACACAAGCAAGTGATCCTCCCTTTGATCCCTATGGTGGGCCGGCTTGTCACCCTGGAGATGGCAACATATCGGTCCACGCTGATGCAGGCCAAGAAGAACATGCCAGCGTTAAAATTCATCACAAACAAAACGGAGCAGATTTTGCACAGGGCGATCCCCACTACCCAGCCGTGAACGGCTTGTAACGCCCAGAAGGGCAGAGTGAAAAGAAGCAGCAGGTCAGCAATGGCCACATTCATAATATACAAGTCTGTCTTTGTCTTAATCCGCTTGTAATAAGCATAGATGGCTATGACCAGGGAGTTTCCAGCAAGCCCGAGGATGAGCGTGATGGTGTAGAATGCCGGCAAGAAGGATTGAGCAAACTTTCTGACATCGTCTTTCTCGCATAGGAAAATATAATCCTCATAGTTAATGCTGGAGTTGTCGTCAAAGTAGGACTCATTGTAGTCCCCGTAGTAAATGGCATCTGCCTCCTCCATGAGTACCTAAAGAAAGAAAGAGTGCAAAATATTATCACATATTTCTTCTCCTCATCTTCTGAAAGTCCTATAACCTTCACTGGGTTGGAGGCCCGACACTGCCTGCCTGACATTAGAGGTTAGCGAGTCTAAGCCTCTCTTACTCTGTTTCTGGTTGGCCATTGCAACAAAATCCTAACCTCCTTTGGCATGATCGGTAGCCAGTATAATTGTGCATTTGTGTGAAGTTACTAGGTTACGAGGGATGCAATTTAGTCGCACACGCTCAGCTGCTTTGTGTGCACAACTGGATTTTCTTTTGCCACAAGTGTGAGCGTGACAGTGGATGTCAGCAAGTTATTCCAACTTGGTGGATGAAATGACATCGGGAGAAAGTCCCTACTCTTTCTGGGATCAATAGAACTTTAATGCCCGCCTGAACAGGCAAACGGGAACTGGTTTAATGTTTATCTGAAGGTGTAAGGCTTCTGTCCCCTGTTTTCAGTGCATAAGTGAGGAGCTGTTTCATGCTGCTTGTGATCCTGATCTGCCTGATCCATTGTGGCTTTGGCTTGCAGGGTTAGCGGGAGGTGAGTGGTAAGAATCCCAGTGACAGGTCTGACCCTCCAAGTTCATCTAACAACTTGTAAATTTAGGAAACCTCATAAATTCTGCTTTGATTTAGATGGTGGTTTCTGATGTTTTTTTAAGAACAGAAGGATAACATTCTGATCATTGTTCTGTGTGGAGACATTGACAAAGTTGGCCTCTTATGAGATTTCCCCATTTCGGTTGCACGTCTACAGGAAATGCTAAACGGCTTCCAAATTATGACTTTTAGACCATGCCAGAGAGCATGTTGATTATGGACCTCAGATCTTCGACAATTTCTGGCATTGTAGTCACTTCTGTGTTTAGTTTTGAGGGGATGGGAGGCTCTCTTTGCACCATGTGTATGGCTGCACATTTTCAACAAGTTTCTCTGTCCTACTTTATATATTGCGCTCAGACTTAGTGAGTAAAGCCTCCAACATTACCCCAGCCTCATCCTTCATCTCACCCACTGGGCCTCTGTGTAATGAGTGAGAAGGACTCACCTCTGTGTGTCAGTATTAGACTCACCTCTGTGTGATCATTGTGCTGACCTATGTATCAGTGTAATATCCAGCTTATTTTTCATCACATTTTTGTGTTTGTGGAAATGATTATCTCAGTAGAAATCTGGTTCTAATAACTACTCCGCACGAGCCAGGACATATAAACAGTGTCTCGTAATAAATTATGACTTTGGAAAGCCAAAGTTTAGTTTTTTCGATGTGCGTTTTTGCGGTTTGAATGAATTTGGTGGTGGTGGGGGTTGGGGGGGGTATTGATTAAACCTAAGCATAAGATTTTCATGAAATGTTTTAGGAATTTGTTTCCATTCTTCCAAGTTCAGATCGAGAACTTTAATGGGAAGCACCACTGAAGAGACCGTGATTAAACCCACACACCCAATGTCAGTAAATTTGCTGCCAAGTGGGATTGGCTCCAGTGGTGTTAAGAGTTAAGTCCCTGAGTTTATGAAAAAGACATAACAGTGATCCTGATGGAAAGATATGGCAAAGACCATTGATGGGATCACTGGGAGACTTAAAATCCCCCAATAAAGTAACAGTACAGTTTAGTTTTACATTTATAATGTAATTGTGTTAATATTAATATTGCATTAATTATTGAGAAGCATGCAGGCAATCATCAAATGGAACAGAATAGCCCACATTTAATGACTAAATTTATTAACCTGAGCAAATGGAGCAAAATTGTACCATTGTGTTTTAGTGCATTAAAATGCAACTGCTGCTTACTAAAGAATGTATTCCATAATGAAGATTGTAAAAAGCTTTTTTTAAATAAATGTTTAAATATAAATGTAAATTGTTATTGCTTGAATGAATTAGTGATTATCCCCCCTTGACTGGATAATATTAAAATTGAATTTCTGAAGGATATTGATATAATATGTGTCAACCTGGCTCAGTCGGTAGTATTCTCGCCTTGGGAGTCAGAATGTTGCCGGTTCAAGCTCCACATCAGGATATTGAGCTCATGGTTTAGGCTGACACTTCAGTGCAGTGCTGGGGGAGAATTGCATGGTTGAAGGTGCATTGTTGGATGAGATGTTAAATCAAAGTCCTGCCTTCCTGTTTAGGTGGACGTTAAAGATCCCATTGAACTGATCAAAAAGAAAAGGGTTTTGCCTGGTGTCCTGATCAACAATTCCCAGATTTAAATAAAATGGTCACTCGCTTCATGGCTGTTTGTTGGACGTTAGTTCTGTGCAAATAGGCTCCTGCGTTCGATTACAAAACATACAGTCATTAATTTTACAGCAAAGCACTGCAAAGCACTTTGAAATGTTTTGACGTAATATGGCGCTATGTCAAATATAATATTTTTATGAATACCTAAATTTATATACCCTGCACTGAACGCACTTCTAAATATTCATAGTTTGCAGTTCTTCGTTATTATTCAATCAGTAAAGCGCTCTGGGACGCTACTCTGCTTGAAGGGCGCTATATCAATGCAAGTTGTTTTGTATATTTCCAATGAAGATGACAAGGAAAATATACTTAATGTAAAACTCACTGATCCAGTTTGACTTGACTACATTCTTTAGTAATAGGAATACATTCTTTAGTAAGCAGTGGTTGCAATTAGGCTTGGGAATGTCCTGCAGCAGTAATAGAAATCTCAGACAGTCTCAAAGGGAATTGGGCTAACGCAACCATTGCTTAGCCTTGTAAGGACAGGGTCAACATGATTATTAACGCTTCAATGAAAATGTTGGGTGGTGCCTAGCAATCTGTTGCCTGAATGAATAGGTGCTTGTCATGCAAAGTTCCCATTCACACTAAAATCTAGTGTATATTTTTTTAGAAGCAAGAGTGCAGGAGAAGTCATTGAGCATGCTGATGCTTAAACCCAGAAAACCAAGAAAGATTGTTTAGATAAAAGTTACTTTGTCAGTTCTGCATTTTGTGGAAAACTGTATGAAATACGCACCACATTCTTTCCGATCCCACCCCCGGATGCTGAGTGCCAGATTGACTTCCTTTTGTGAGTTTAGGTCATCAAGTTTGGCTTCTTTATAACACCAGTGTTTTGGGGGTGTATGGAACAAGCACTATTCATTTGTTATCTAACTTTGCTTTCCTCAGGCTGATAGCCTGATTCTGATCAGGAACTCATGAAGACCACAATGTCAAGGTGATTATGGATACTTGACTGGGAGTGCTGGGATTAGGTGCTTCATTTAGGAAGCTGCAGTTCATGGCAAAAAAATTTTTTTTAAGAGCGTTGGAGATAAACCTCTGTGGCTCAGTATCTTCCCCAATCCACAATATCTCCGACCTCCACAAATGAGTTTAAAACTTTATAATGATTTCCTGAAATTCTGTTGGCAGGTCAATAAAATACAGCCCAGAAAGCACTTATGCCACCCAGGTGAATGATGGATATGAGAAAGTAAGCTGGATCATCCTATTCTGTGTAATTAACATTATTAAACATAATTTCACAATGAATTTACTTGTAGGCAATCTTTACAGGTTGTGTTGCACATCCAGCAGAGACTCAGGAAGAAATGGATCCCTGTTTAATAATAATATAATAATACTTGCATTTTATATAGCACCTTACCACGTCTTTGAGATGTCTCAAAACGTTTCACAGAATATACTGTAAAGTGAATTGAACATTTATTTTATGGGCGAAACGCGGCGGCAATTGTACACAGCAAATGGTCATGGATTCAGTGACCAAATACCCTGGAAAAGCGATCCGCCAATTGACTAACATCCGGGTTCCTACTTACTGCTTGGTAAACAGAGGCACATGGAGTAAGGAAACTTGCCCAATGTTTCACCCTCTCGGGTGAACCCTAGTCCACTCGCTTGCAAGGCAAGTGAGCTTGGGACATCTTCCCGACGTGAAAGGAGTTCTACAAATGTAATCTTGTTGTTGTCTAATCACTAAGCTACAGAACTCCAAATGTCGCAAACTGTTGGCAAAAACAAGATAATTTCTATTCAGTTTCAAAAGGTTCCAGTTCTATATTTGGACCATTTTAATATACAAATTCATGTTTCCCTTAATCTTTAACAGCTCAGATTGACTCATCAGTCTGATATCCAGTTACACCCATTGCGTAGCTGAGGGTGGATGGAAAAAATGATAGGTTGGCTTCTAAGGTTGCAAAGACTAATTTTTTGCCAAGTTGTTTGCACATGCATTGTGAGGCTGGAACAGTGCTGTTAAATACAGTATCAATGCTACACACCAGGATAGCTTTATCGTTCTAATATCAGCCACAAAAATATAGTAAACTCCTGATAACTTGTTCCTGGCTGAACTTGTCACTACCACTGTCATGCTGTCAATATCCCGGCTGCATTTACTTATGTATTTGTACATGTGCCAAACCTGATAACTCCTGATTACTGAGCCCTTTTCCCTTGGAGTGATGAGTTATATTGTACACTGTATATACAATTTAGCTAAGCAACAATAAAATACACTAAAGTAAAAATAAGCATTTTAAAACCTTATCTGAGCTTGTCCTATCATGGCCTTTCCACCCCTATTTTTCCCACTATCTATTTTTGTTAAGATTTTAATTTTATTTTACTACTATTTTCACCTTTTTTCATCTGTAATTTGAATGAAGTTTCTATACCATGCTCCAAGTTTCCCTTCAACTCCACAGTCACTACACTTTACAGTATGTACTGTGAAGTGCTTTGCGTTTTCCTCCTGATGTGAAAGATGCTGTACCAAATTTAAGAATTGTAGGATTATTTTTTAAGTGTTTCTGATTTGCTCCTTTTCCTGAATGCTTTGAATCACACTGGGGTATTGCTCTGATTGCTCTGCACCTGCACCCTCGCTCGCATCAAACTCTGCACAACCATCATCTAATCCTCGCCAGGCGTCATGGTCTCCCTGTCTGTCAGCGGATTGATTTCAAGGCCCTCGCCTTTATT